TCTCTGTCTATCTGTCTATCTATCTATCTATCTATCTATCTATCTATCTATCTATCTATCTATCTATCTATCTATCTATCTATCTATCTATCTATCTATCTATCTAAAATCTTTGTTGCAAAATCTTGAGCATGACTCTGCTTGCATGAAAAATTAACACAAAATTTCTGTAAATACTGCACTCCTTCACATCTTCTTTGTATATTGTATATAAAGCATTTCCAGTCTGTGGGACATTGTTTAGTTTTCTATATTTGTTGACAAATCTCTTTAGATTGAAATAGTTCTACTGGTGTACAGTTTACTACTGCTGATTTGTTTCTTCCATGTGCTTGGAGAATGATGTTTACTTTGCTTTTAGAATGGTACTTTCACCACAGTATCCTTGTTTGAGGGAATATGTCATTCTTGCATTTCTCCCATACAGTTCTTCAGTATACTGCTTCCATCTTCTTTTTATTTAATTCTGGTTAAGTAATATATTTCCCTCTTGATTTCTTAGCATCCTTAATCTTGGTTATATTTCCTTTGATTCCATGTATCTTATGGAATAGATATCTTGTTTAGGAGAGTAACCGGTAGCATAAGAAAATTATAATGATATATGAAAAAGTTTGTGTTCTACTGCACAAGAACGAAGTCTGAGTTTCCACAAGAGTTTGGAATGATGCACTAGTGAAATTCTGAGTACAACCAGTGTTCCTTTACAGGATAATTAAGTGCTATAAAGCCTTCTGTTTCTTTCAAAGAAAAGCAAGCAGTATGTACCATAATACATTTCTCAGAGCCTCCCTGAGGAATATGATTTCTAATTTTTTTGTTATTTGACAACTTTGGCAGGTCAACAGATACTTTCGTTTTAGTAGTAGGCACAGAATTTTGAGACTGTGCTAAAGGATCACATGAAGGCCACTCAAAAGAAGTGCCTCGTTCCTGGGTCGCTCAATCCTCCCCCGCAAAGGGAATATTTGCTCAAGGATATGACAAACCAACTTCAACCTCAACCTTTACAAAACCCTTAACCTACCACAAACCAGATTGAGACATTTCTTCCACCCAAGCCCAACTCTAAGAATTTAGATGTGGCAAAAGCAAATGATGTCTGTGGAGAAAATAACAACATCAGTACTACTCCACTTGAAGCTCTTATTCTAAACCACATTCTGTTATTTAATCCCTGCTTAGAGCCTCAGATATACCCTAGCTCAGATTGTAATACCTCAGTTTCACATGACTGTTCATCTCCTATGAGCTTGACAAAACCCGAGGTTTCTCTTCCCTTTGGATCATAGCAAACTTTAATTCCATCATCGCTGTTACTTGTGGATCAGCCCCATCTCTCAACAACAAGTTCAATGCCTGATCTAGAATCTTCAGTGGAATATCCTACCTCAAATTGAGAATCTAGGAGCCAGAGCGAGCAATGTCCAAAATGTATTTCATGGAATGTGTCTGGCTGGTCAAACAAAATTCAAAATCCAGTACAGTATTTCTACAATTTATGGAAAGCTTTGATATCATCTTTATCCAGGAGACCTGGTCCTTAACTGAGCTGATATTAAATGGGTTCATCTCATATACTCTTACTGCCACTCCCCCTGCAGCTAAAGGCTGCCCAAAATCGAGGGCTGGCTTGTATGATATATACCTCAGTGGTCTGTATGGCTCTATTGCTACTACCTTTAAGACCTATTGCAATGGCTATTTTTCTGACTTTTAAAGATAGGTAAACCTTTATTGTGAATGTCTATACTACCCCCTACTCTTCCCCTTTCTATTATGAACATTGTTGGTATGACTTGGAAATGTATATATATGATCTTGAAACTAAATTCTCCCGAGCCCAAACAATATTACTTGGAGATTTTAATGCACATTTGGGCAACAGTTGTTTTAGATCTGTTTATGCTGACCACATTAGTGATTTTTATAATCAGCTAAAAAATACAAAAGACCCTCTCTTGAATAATTCTGGGGGAAAACTCTGGCAGCTGATCGATAGGAGAGAAACCATACAAATGTTTTTTATGCATTCTTTATGAATCAATCAGCCTGCCAAATTCCACTTAGTGTGAATGCTAAGCTTCATGAGGGGTTAAAAATACTTGTTTTTCACAGGCACAGGAGTTTGACACAAAGTACAGTATATTTTATACAGACTACAGAAAACATGATTGGAGAAACTTGTACAATCTGTCTATGCTGGGTGCACAATCTTTCCAAGGAGTCTGAAGAAGCCACAAACTATGGGCACACAATCTTGAGTGGCATGTCTCATCTAAAATCTCAGCAAATGAAATATTTCCTACCCTCTCTGTTCTTTGTGTAGATCAAATGTGTCTAACATTTATTGCCAGACACCTTGCCGCAAAGCAAAAAGAGGATAGTGGAAGTGGTCATCCCTACCTTAATACTGGACTGAGAATATGCCAGAATTGTGTTGTATCAAATGGGGATTTGTATAACCTTTGGAACATTGTGCTAGGATGTTAGTGCCTTCATTCTTCCCATATAATGTGAAAACCCCTGAACAATGCTTCTGCATTTCAAGACTGTCCTCATGCTAGTCAAGTGAAGGCTAAACTGCCTGCTTTGCAGGGGACAGGAAGTACTCTTCCTATTCTATGGGAGAACAATGTGACTGGAACCCAATAACTGACACCTTACCAAAATGTAGCTGCACAGCAGACCACAGGATCAGATTCTTAGGATTTTTCCCCCTTTTCTTTTATGCCAAATAATGACCTACCACAATTCAGTTCATCTGAGTTGTCTCCACAGTCATTTTCTCCATCACATATGAAGGCTGGTAAAACACAGAGTCCAGTTCCACATTGAAAACGGCCTGGCTGACATTTAAATTCAGCTGGAGAAAGAAGTAAGTGTTGAACAGTTGCATTTGGTGCCAATAAAATGAAATTGACTTTCCAACATTCAAGTTTCCATACCATGACAAAAAGTTTTTAGCAATTAATATATGGTGGTTTTTAATCAAATACCTAAATAAACAAACACATCTTGCAATTAAAAAAGTATGTCTTTACCTCGCAATTATTAAAACAAGCTAACTATCAGTAGTAACTGAGAATGGTTTTTAATCAAATACCTACACGTCTTGCAATTAAAAAAAGTATGTCTTTACCTTGCAGTTATTAAAACAAGCTAACTATCAGTAGTAACCGAGATATTCTAAATTGTTCTAAATTGTTAATCTTTTTCTTAGTGAGTCAATTAAATATATTTCCTCTTAGCTGAAATGAAATAAAAAGTTTCAGCCAGATCATTTTGTTACAAACTCACATTTTCACCACTTTGCCACAATTATGTGATACTGCAGCATAAAGAGCAAGCTAATTGTCATGAAACAGAATTTCTCTTAACATTAAATAGTGCTATTTCATATTTTTAGAGGCTATAGGGCAATGCAAAGAGCAACATAATTACTGCACTGATGGATGAAACCCTTCACACAGATACCAGGGAGTAAGCCCCACTGAATTAAGTGGAATTCATTTCTGAGTAAACTCATATTGGATTGCACTGTGTATCACTTAATACACCAGTAAATATTATGTATACCTCTGCGGATACACTGACACACATATAGCATAAGAATCATCAAGATAAAAGAAGAAACAGTACTAGATGAAATAAGTATGACTTTGGTGAAGCAAATAACTAAAACTGCTTTCTTTTCTTTACATAGTAGAATCTAACAAACTCCAAAATTGCTAGCAAGGTTCCGGAGATCTATGGAAGAAATAAGTTGAATTAAATTTACCATAATTATATTATATGTACAGTGGTGCCCCGCATAGCAACGATAATCCATTCCGGAAAAATCATCGCTATACGGATTCGTCGCTATGCGGAACAAAAAAGCCCATAGAAACACATTAAAACCCGATTAATGCATTCCTATGGGCTTCAAACTCACTGTTCAGCAAAGATCCTCCATAGCGCGGCCATTTTCGCTGCCTGTTAAGTGAGGAATCCGTCCCAGAAAACAGCAGGTGGCCGTTTTAAAACCACCAATCAGCTGCTAAAAAACCATGGCTTTGCAATGATCGGTTCCCTAAGCAGGGAACCAATCATGGCAAAGCACCGCCAGCCAGCAAACCAGCCTCCTTGGCGGGGCTGTCCCGGGGCACAGATGGGCGGGCCTGAGGGTCTTTCTCCAGTGAGCGAGGGCTCGGAGGCAGCCGCCTGGGGCGGGAAGGGGCACACCACCCACCGCCAGCCAGCCAACCCCGGATGCCCAGTCTCCTTGGCGGGACGCAGACGGGGTGAGGAGGGGGTCTCTGGTGCACCGCCCCCCCATCCAGCCGCTGCGGCCCTGATCCTGGTCCCCAGTGGGCGCCTCCTCCTTTGCAGTGCCTCCCGCCGTGACTGCTCTCTGGCTCGGGCACCAGCCAGACAACCCCGGATGCCCAGTCTCCTTGGCGGGGTGCAGACAGGGCGAGGAGGGGATCTCTGGCGCGCCGCCCCCGTCCAGCCGCTGCCGCCCTGATCCCAGTCCCTGGTGGGCACCTCCTCCTTTGCAGCGCCTCCCACCGTGACTGCTTTCTGGCTCAGTGCCCCAGGGGTGCATGCAGGGATCGGGGCCAGGCCCTTCACCCCTCCTTCCCTCCCTCCTTCCGAGGTGCCAATCCGGAACGCCCCCCTCCTGCTATCCCCTATTTATGCAGGAGCTCTGGGGGGGGGGGAAGTGCAGAACTGATCAGTTGTTTAAAAAGCCTTGCTTGCAGCGCCGATCAGCTGTTTAAAAAAGCATTGCTTTGCCATGATCGGTTCCCCAAGCAGGGAACTGATCATCGCAAAGCGAAATTCCCCCATAGGGAACATTGGAAAGCAATCGCAAAGGCGATTGCAAAATCTTCATCGCGAAGCAATTTCATCGTTATATGAAGCAATTGCTATGAGAGGCACCATTGTATTTACAGTATGCCTAATCAGAAGTAAACCTTACTGTTCACAATTGTGTTTTTTTTCTCTTTTATGCATGCTTAGAATGGTGGCGTAGAAGTTCCTAACTGTTTTTTATTCCCTTTAAAAATCTATGGTTTGAAAAGTAAAAAATCTAATTAATTAGTACTTCAATAAAACATACACTCAAAATTGCAAACAACATTATTTATAATTCTTTGTATCATATGGATCTGAGGTCTCTATTTAAAAATCTGCAGAAATCATTCATATTTATTAGAGATATCAGAAGTGATACCAGTTTCTCTTAGAAGCAAGCCACTTATCTTGGCTTACTTCTATTATTTTTGCTCCTATCTTCTCTGTAGCAGAGAAGGACACTCCAAACTGTACACAGGAATATGACAAAAGCAATAGAAATGTGTTCATCCTCTGGAGTTAAGAGTACAGATGAATATAGTTTTTTGTTTTTAATTATGAAGGAGAAATAAAAATGACCAGTTTCTCTTAGAAGCAAGCCACTTATCTTGGCTTACTTCTATTATTTTTGCTCCTATCTTCTCTGTAGCAGAGAAGGACACTCCAAACTGTACACAGGAATATGACAAAAGCAATAGAAATGTGTTCATCCTCTGGAGTTAAGAGTACAGATGAATATAGTTTTTTGTTTTTAATTATGAAGGAGAAATAAAAATGAAATGAGTATAGCTTTTTGTTTTTAATTACGAAGGACAAATAAAAATAGGAAAATATTTATTTATGGGAATATTTATCGATCCGTATTCGTTGGGGCTTAAAATCTGAAGAATACGGATCGATAAATATTTAATGAATCGGCTATTTTCATTGTGAAGAATACAGATCAATAAATGTTTAATGAATCTGCTATTTTCATTGAAAAAGCTGATGCGTTTTTATATTTGTCACCATCTCTAGTTAACCAACTCCTCCAAAGTAAACAATTGAATCATCCCTCACCAATTTTGAAATTATTAAGAGGGCAACGCAAAGTGTTGAGATAAATCTTATTATGCAGAAACATTAGTAGAATGAGGACAAAATTGTTAACATCTAAGTCAATCTCTACTTCCCACAGCTATCAGCTCACTATACTGATACCTCTTGAAGAGAACTTCTTACCTGTAGGAAAAGGGGATTACACACTCACCTCAGCATCCCATGCTTTTGCTGCTGCTACCACTGCATTAATTTTACTGGTTCCAGGGGAGGGGCTGAGAGAGAACATTTGACAGTTGCCTAGTAATTGCCCGACATACTTCCAACATAACCTGTCAGTGGTTGGGGAATATGTTGAGTGGTTACTAAGCAGTAATCAAATGCTTTCTCTTCCCCTCCTTGGAGCAAGCAAAACATCCAGTTAGGGAGCGCCTGTTCATGGTAAGGACAAGAAATCGACTCGCTTAGGATCCTGTCTTGATTCTATTGCTTGTACTTTAACTCAGTGGTCCCCAACCTTGGGCCTCCAGATGTTCTTGGACTTCAACTCCCAGAAATCCTGGCCAGCAGAGGTGGTGGTGAAGGCTTCTGGGAGTTGTAGTCCAAGAACATCTGGAGGCCCAAGGTTGGGGACCACTGCTTTAACTCCTAGAAAGTTCCACGGGTACCATGTAAATCTTACTGGCCTACTTTTCAATATGTCAAAATGAACAGAAGCAAAAAAAAAAAAAAAATCCACCTATGAGGTTCATATACAGCTGAAAAGGCTCAACCATGAATTACTATGCAGGAAATGGAAGGCTATGTCCTGGTGTTTTCTAGGAACTAAGCTTTGTTGTCAGTGGAGCTATGCTAGTTCCACGGGTACCATGTAAATCTTACTGGCCTACTTTTCAATATGTCAAAATGAACAGAAGCAAAAAAAAAAAAAAAATCCACCTATGAGGTTCATATACAGCTGAAAAGGCTCAACCATGAATTACTATGCAGGAAATGGAAGGCTATGTCCTGGTGTTTTCTAGGAACTAAGCTTTGTTGTCAGTGGAGCTATGCTAATGATTGCCCTTCAGAGGTAGGACCTATAAAGACTTAGCTTTAATCAGTGGTGGAGGTGATGTGGCTTAATAGTACAGCAGATGCTTTCTCTGCAGGAAATGTGAAAAAATCTCAAGTACCAAGGCTAGGAAAAAAAAATTCTGCCTGAGGACATGCAGAGTCAACGCCTGAAAGAACAGAAATTTCTGGGCAAAATAACCCAATTACCGGATTCAGCCTAAGGCAACTTCATTATGTTCCTGTGTAATTTCAAGGGTAAACACAAAATATTATATAATTTGGAAATATAGAAAGTGAAATACTTGGCTCTATAAGAGACAACCTACACATAAGATGTATGAAATGTAGTATATGAAACAATAACGCTGGTTTTGGAAGTTTTCACAAGGAAAGTGACAATGGGATACAAATCTTGATAATGTACCTTCATAGGTAAACTGTTCAAGACTAGAATAAAGAAAGGCTGATTGTTGAAGTCTAGTCTTGAAAGATGGATGTGGTTAGAAAATGAAGAAAAAAAAATAATGGATTGGATCCAAACTTATGCATACTGGAAGGGATAAAAGCCACTTTCTCATTTAAGGCTTTAGACTACAACTTTTATCAAAAATGTTTCTATAGCAAAATAACATGGAAAACTACTTAACAGTCTAAAAAAACAGAACACCAAAAGTCTGAACAGTAATTTTGCAAAATACATCAGAATTCATACATCAGAATGATTCCATAACTGGGATCACTGCCTCCCCCTTGCCATCCATTACTATTTTCCCTTACTTTTGAGTGAGACATGCAGGAATTACCTCATCTCTGGTCACAATTTATCATGCCAATAGTTTAAAACCATCTGCTGCTTGAAAGTAAGGGGAAAGAGTAATGGCTGTGAATAGGAAGGTGGTGATCCTTGTTATGGAGTCATTATTATGTGTGACTTATGATGCATTTTGTATAATTACTGTTCAAATGTTTGATGTTCTATACTCTTAGACTGTTAAATACCTTTCTATGTTATTTTTCTATAAGAAAAAAATGAGAAATGTATAGTCTGAAGCTTTAAATGAGAAAGTGGCTTAAGATTAAACTATAAAAGGATCAGCAGGGGTGGGACCACTTTCAGATCTGTCAATGAAGTAATTAACCTGTCAAGCACTAAATGTTTGCTTCACAACAAAATGGCCTTCCCATACAATCTGAAGCCTACTTATTTAACAGGATTCAGGACTAGCACCTGATGCCCCACTTTAAAATCACAGTATTTTGTTTTTGCATTTCCTCTTGGGCCTGGACATCTTGTCTCAACTGCCTACAAAGCTAAAACATGCCTCTGTCTTTACAAGAACATATCATCACTAACTATATGGGGGAAAGTCCATTTTAATTGTTGCGGCTTGAAAAAAGAAGACCTCCAACCGCAGAGGGGGGAAAAAAGCCACATTGGAAGCCAAAATGCTAGACCAATCTGAATCAGCGTTTGCATCATGCCATCAGTAAAAATCTCCTTAGAATTCACCCATTTTATAAGTGGAGGAAATTCCACAGTATATGATATGTAGTCACACTCTGTATAACTTAGAAAACCAAGTTATTTGTGGAGAGGGAAACGGTATTGTGAGCTAAGATCCTATATAATGCTGGCTAAGCAGAACATCCCACCAGCATAATTCCATGGACTCTCAAGACACTGATGGCTCCAGCAATCTGTGGAGCACCACCAGGCTGCAATACCAGCTGAGAGCCTCCAGTCTCTCCCCAGTCAGTCAAGGACTGTCTTGCTTTGTGGTAGGGTAAAGCTTTGGCTGCCCAAAAAAAAAAAAAAAAAAGATATTTGCTTTCATAAGGAGGTACTGGGTACTTTCTTGTGCAAGCTTCTGAAAGTAAGAACTGGCTGAATAAGGCCTAAGGGACATGTGTCATGATACAATTAGATCCTCCACATTGTTTCTAAAGGGTCACTCATGGGGAATAAAGAGAATTATTTAAAAAATCTGATGTAGTAGCAGTAGGGTTATTTCTCATAATAGGCAAACCAAGGCTGCAATTCTATGCATACTTAACTGGGAGTACATTTTGTTGAAAATAAAGGGGGGGAAGGCAATTCAAAGGACTAGTTATAACTTACAAAGACAACAGGTCAGGGCTCTGATACATGATACCGTGTTCCCCCCAAAATAAGGCAGGGTCTTATATTTATTGTTGTTCCAAAAAATGCATTAGGGCTTATTTTCAGGAGATGTTTTATTTTACAGTCATGTCATCTTCTGGTTGCTGAACAATGGTGGAGGGTGGGGTTTCACTTAATTAGGGCTTATACTTGGGGTAGGGCTTATATTACGAGCATCCTGAAAAATCATACTAGGGCTTATTTTCAGGTTAGGTCTTATTTTTGTGAAAACAGGGTAGAGAATGCCTTTCCTGTCATGAATGTGCTTGGAGCCTGAGGTCAGTATGTGAGGGCTTCTTCTAAGTAGCTTCGCTGTGGAGAGGCCTTTCTCGGTTGTGGCCTTCTGGCTCGAGAAAGTTCTCCACTTTGCCCTCAAATGTACCTTTGTTTCAATGATTTGTTTTGGTTACCCCTCTAACCCAATAAGATTCTGAAGCTGAGGCTCCAATACTTTGGCCATCTCATGAGAAGAGAAGACTGCCTGGAAAAGACCCTGATGTTGGGAAAGTGGGAAGGCAAGAGGAGAAGGGGATGACAGAGGATGAGATGGTTGAACAGTGTCATCAAAGCTACCACCATGAATTTGACCCAGCTCCGGGAGGCAGTGGAAGACAGGAGGGCCTGGCGTGCTCTGGTTCATGGGGTCACGAAGAGTCGGACACAACTAAATGACTAAACAACAGCAAGTAACCCAATATGATATGGGCCAATTTCACAAAGATCATTATTAAGGTTATTAAATCTTATCACTTCTTATTCTTCGGGGGAAGTGTACTGCTATACTTCCACATCATCATCATCACCGTAATTAATTTCTCTGCACTTTTTGTGCATTGGGTTGGAGAAAAAGTCAAATTAGGAATCAAGTTCTAAAATTTTGTGAGATGAGATGCTTGCAAAATCATGAATTTTTTGAAATTCATAAAGCAAGTTAGCAGCCATTGGCACCAGTTTTAAATTGGTAACCAAAATTATATTATTATTCTATATAGTAATACAAGATGCTGTCAATTATTTTAAGAAAAGAATTTTAATAAGTTGAAATAATGAGAACAGTGATATATAGTATTCTGTAATGTGTTTACAGAAAGACTATAAAATACATTTCACTAAAACCAAATACAAAAGAATTCAAAACAATTGCAACAAGTATAAGCAAACAGTTCTAAAACTATATAGATGAACAGACAGCAAAAGTATTATTTAGAATAAATGTAGACTCCTTATAACCTTACAATAACTATTTGTACAATAATCCGTTGAACTAAATTGCTTTAAAGGCACCCTGTTTTAGGACACTAGATTGGACTTGTGTTTCTTTTTTCCCCTTTTTTTCTTTTTCATGCTAACAAAGTGTCCTCACAACATTTAGATATGTGTGACTCAAATTCTAGAAGAAACAAATGACTGAAGGTGAAATTTCTTATGTCACTGCCAAAATATAGTAGTAATTTGCCAGGTACACTATTTTTGAAAGCAAGATACCTCATCTTCTGCTGTCAAGGCAAAAGTTAAGGCAGACACACTGCTATCTATTGACAACATTGTTTATTCCAAGCTTTCTAAGTCTGACAGGAATAGTGTTGTCACAGTTCCATGAACTATGAGGAGCTATCAAAATATCATCTCATTTTATAGTGTGGTAAAAACACTGCTACCATTCTACATAAGACATTCAGCTGCAATGTATCTTATAAAATCACTTGCGATTATCGGACTCATGACAATCTTCTTTTCTTTAGAAGCCACACAGTGACTGAAACACTGTTCCTTACTGTAATAAGCCACAAATAGAGTAAGTCCATTGAATCAGTGGAACTTACAGTGGGGTCTCTACTTAAGAACGTCTCTACTTAAGAACAATCCAACTTAAGAACAGCTCCATTTGCTAAATTTTGCTTCTACTTGAGAAGAGAAATCCAAGATAAGAACAGGAAAAAAAACCTTTCCTGCTCTTTTTTTAACCTTAGGTCATCTTAGGTTAAAAAAAATTCTCCCCCTAGTGATAGAGTACGTATTAACCAGCTTTGGATTAGTTCCTATGGGAACTAATGCTTCAATGTACGAACACACCTCTACATAACAAAAAAACAGCCAGAACGGATTAATTGGTTTTCAGTCCATTCCTATGGGAAATTTTGCTTCAACTTAAGAACATTTCAACTTAAAAACATCATTCCAAAATGGATTAAGTTCTTAAGTAGAGGTTCCACTGTAGTTTCTATGGACGGAAAAGAGCAGATACGGATTAAATGGTTTTCAATGCGTTCCTATGGGAAATGCAGATTCAGCATAAGAACTTTTCAACTTGAGAACCACCTTCCAATACGGATTAAGTTCTTAAGTAGAGACCCCACTGTATACAGGAGCAGACTCACTGAATTGTCACTGATTCAATAGGCCAACTCTAGTTGCAATTCGCTATGCGAAGCAATGGAATTTCAGCTTTGTACAGTATCTCATTCTTCCATTAGAACATTCTCTTAATGTCACTTGCAACCTAATTTTCTAAAAAAATAGTTCTGTTAGCACTTACGACATTCTTTAGGTTCATCTGATCCATCTCCACAATCATCGACAGTGTCACATTTCCACCAGAATGGAATACATTTGTCAGTTTTGCAGCGGAACTGCAGGAGAAAGATACAGCAGGATATCTTAACAATAATGATCCTTTAATTACTTCAGAATACTGATCTTTTTCTAGAAACAGCACAAATTATACATACAATAAAAATATTAATAATCAGCATTTTGGAACCTGGTCAGAATTTGAAACCTCTTGTTCCTTGAAATTTATTTCTGGCTGCTATTTTGTATAGTACTTTTTTTAAAATTAAAAAATATATCCTTTTTTAGAGTTTCCACTCAACCCATTCTTTTGAGCATAGAATTTTGTTGTGTTTAAATCACCAACAACTTCCTCTGTTAGCATAAATCTGTTCACTGACGGTAATATAAAAAAGGTAAAGGTTCCCCTTGACAATTTTTTGTCCAGTCGTGTCCGACTTTAGGGGGCGGCGCTCATCCCACTCTTCAAGCCATAGAGCCAGCGTTTGTCCGAAGACAATCTTTCCGTGGTCACACCTTATAAAATGACTTGGATTCAAAAGGCTGTGCCATTGGTAGAAGGCACGTCTTCTCACACTGAGGAGGATCCCAAGTTTCAAGCAATTCCCAATTTAATTTTGAAGTTTGGCATCACCAGTATGCAGATGATACCCAACTGTAATTCTCCTTGTTATTGAAATCTGAATAAACAGAAACTTAATCCAGACAAGACAGAGGTGCTCCTGATTACCTAAAAGGCATATCAGGAAACAGGGATACATCCTGTGCTGGATGGAGTTACACTCCCTCTGAAAACTCATGTGTGCACACTGGGGGTGTGCCTGGATTCATCTCTGAGCCTGGATGCCCAGGTTTCAGCAGTGACCAGGAATGCCTTTGCACAATTAAACTAATGTGCTAGCTGCACCTGTTCCTGGAGAGATCTGATCTGGTCACAGCGACACATGCCTTAATCACATCCTGGCTGGATTACTGTAACACATTCTACATGGGGCTGCCTATGGAAAGTGGCAGGAAATTTCAGCAGGTCCAAAACTGAGCAGCCAGATTACTCACAGGGATCATACAACCCCCCCCCCAGTTACAGCAGTTCCACTGGATGCTGATCCATTTCCAGGTTGAATTCAAAGCACTGGTTCTGACCTATAAAGTCCTAAATGGGTTCAGCCCAAGCTATCTCAATGACCACAACTCCCTTTGTGAGCCTGGTTGAGCACTAACATCATAAGATGAGGTCTTCCTCTTGTTCCCACCATCATCACAGGTGCAGTTGGGGGTACACAGGAGAGGGCCTTATCTGTTGCTGCTCCAGACTCCAGAACTCCCTCATAGAGGAGGCAAGGCTGGCACCATCTTTACTGTCCTTCCACATGCAGGTGAAGATCTTTCTCTTCAGGCAAGCCTTCTCTTAAGTGACTGGATGCTCAAGTGGGAATTTTAAATGAATCATTGTACCTTTGAATGTGTTTTGGTGTTCCTTACGTTTTTTAGTATAGCATTCATTTGATCCTTTTCAGTTTTTGTATACTCACTGCTTTTTTATACTCGTTGTTAGCTTTAAATACTGTATTTTAATGATGTAAGCCACCTTGGGTCCTTTTTAATGGGAAAGTATTTTAAATATATAAATTATAAATGGTAATAAATGATTACACAAACAGAAACCCTCAGAAATTTATTCTTTATATATTTAAAATGTATAAACTGGGCTGCTGAAGCAAAGAGGATGTGGAGGGGAAAAAGTGTTCTTTCAGTCAATCATTGGAAGTTAGGTAAAGGTTCCCCTTGACATTTAGTCCAGTCATGTCCAACTCTAGGGCGTGGTCCTCATCCCCATTTCCAAGCCACAGTGCCAGTGTTTGTCTGAAGACAATTTCCATGGTCACATGGCCAGTGTGACTAGGTACAGAACGGAGTTACCTTCCCACCGTGGTGGTGCTTATTTATCTACTTGCATTTTATGTGCTTTTGAACTGCTAGGTTGGCAGGAGCTGGGACAAGCGACGGGAGCTCACTCCGTCGTGTGGATTCAATCTTACAACTGCTGGTCTTCTGACCTTGCAGCACAGAGGCTTCTGCAGCTTAACCAGATCTCTTTGAAGTTAGGTTTCAAGCCTAATGCATGTGAATTATGATTGTGCAAGGGCCTCTTAATTTGGTCCAGGAGCTCATTTGGGGACTTGGTAGTGATCTGGTCAGCCTGATTTGGACTCACATGCCAGTTGGAATTCCTACTGTTCTAAATTGGGAAGTCAAAACAGCATATATATAAAGGGAATTGCCTCAAGTTAAGAAATATAATAGACATTATCTATTGCATGCTCAATTCCATAACTCAGTATGCAACAAATAATGTCTACAGAGATTTCTTAAGTTGAGGCAATTCAACTCTAAAAGTTATACTGTTTGAGTTGCTCCAGTATAACTAGGCAAGAGGATTTCAGCCTTTATTTTTGCATGGACCTATTTTGCACATGCACACACACAAACAAACACACACACACACACACACAGAGAGAGAGAGAGAGAGAGAGAGAGGTGCTACTCTCTTCTCATATTGGAGGAGAAAACTATCACAAAGGAGAGAGAATCACTTATAGTTGTCTTACCAGAACAATTATTCACAACCCTATCTCAAGCCTAATTTTTACAAAACTAGGGTCAAAATGATGCAGAAACCAACAGGCAGAGTCATGTGAATATGAGAGATAAGGAAGACTAGGAGTAGCCAAAGTGGAAGGATAGCTCAGTGGTTTAATTATCTAGCTATGGATACAGATTTTGGGAATTCAATCCCCCCACCTCGTGCCTCCTTGACAGACACTGGTCTTGATGATCCATAGGGGCCCTTCCAGCTCTACAGTTTTAAGATGATTATTATTGAAGGAAGATACTAGTAGAATGCATGAAGAAGAAAAACAAATTATAGTATGTTGAGTTCCATCAAAGTCTTTTCAAAACCTTTGTCACGCTAGCAGGAAACCAGCAAAAGAATGTGTGTCTGGAGAAGGCTGCTGAATTTTTTGCCCCACATTAAAAAGTACAATTGTCAAGGAGCAAAGTACACCTCCCCTGTCTCTAACCAGGCATTTTCTCTTTGTGGTGCTGTTCAGCAACATTTATGAGTCTTGTTTTTGTATACCTCTTTAAATGTGTAAATTTTAAAATACAGTAACTGTATTTCCTTGAAACAATCTCCAATGAGCAAGATGGAATGGGATTCTGAGTAAACATGTGTAGGATGATGTTCCAAATGTCTAAACTCTGGCAGTATGATTCATCCCAACATCCATAAATAAATAGGAAAACCTTCAATTACAAAGAATATACTTACTTGACTGGCAGTGCAATTTGATAAGCAGGTCTTATTATCTGCAGCGAGGTAAAAGTTCGTGGGACATGCACAAGTATGTGTTCTGCCTGGGGCTACGAGGCACAGGTGACTACAGCCACCATTGCTTAATGTACACATATGTTTAGGCACTATGGATGCAAAAGAACAATTGAAACATATAATTAAGTCTCGCAGGAAAAAGCAATTTTTTTCCCTTTAGGACATCGCTAACAAATAGAAGTGATTTTGCTTTCGGCTTTTATAAAAACATCATAAACAAAGTATGGAATATAGTACAGCCTAAATGCATTTATGACAAATGTCCATAAAATACTATTGCTATATCATATGACATTTATATAATGACAAATTAATGCAGCTAATTTACCGATATTAGAAATGTTTCTGAATTTGAGAAATACTATGAACTGCCAGTGCATTCTGGTCTCTGAAGACCTCTGGACTTCTTCTAAATGTCTACAGCAAGGTTGTTATGGAGGCTGCTGCTGGCCAAGGGAAGGTATGCAAAATATATGCCATAAGTAGAAAAGTACATACTGTAGGCTGTCCAACCCATTTTGTGTCTGAATAAAGGGCCCACAGATTCAACCAACCTGTGATGTCATTTTGTGATTCTCCAACATGATCCTTTTCTAGAGCAGTGATATTATTTGTCCATTTTTAATTGCTTCAAAGGGAAAAATAGATCCCCATAAATGAAGAAAATTCTGCTATGACCTGGGGTTGGGGTGGAGACTATTTTCCGTCTGCCAGAAGGCACCCTTCTAATAACTGTGCAAAGACCAGCAGGTGGTCAGATTTGCACCATCACAAAGAAAAAAGGCAGAGGTGGGAGATGGAAAACAAATCTTAGAGCACTAATTCTGACATCACCAATAAAATTCCATGTAAGAGGAATATGGGCATTCAGCCACAGTTGTATACATGCTCATTCCTACAGGATAAATCATTTAGTAAATTAAATCAAATAATAAGAAGCACAATTATAGAATACAAATCCTAATTAGGAACAATGATGCAAACCTTCCACCATGCCTCAGTGGCTGGAGTGTCCAGCGGAAAACTTGGTCTTTGTTGGGAGACTTAGCTGTCATTCGCCTTTTCCTTTGGCACCAGAAAGCTCTGTTTACTGATACTGCGTAGTAGTTTCAATTTCCCCTTTCCTCATTTCAAATTGCTGGGTGCCTGTGTTCAAGAACTTTTTAACCACATGATTTGCAGGTGGAAGACAAAGGATCTATGAGGGTGTATTTGCGAAGGCTTTCACAGCCAGGAGCTGATGGTTGTTGTGGGTTTTTCGGGCTTTTTGACCGTGTTCTGAAGGTTGTTCTTCCTGACATTTCGCCAGTCTCTGTGGCTGGCATCTTCAGAGGACAGCACAGAGAGCTGTCCTCTGACTCTGAAGATCCCGGCCACAGAAACTGGTGAAACGTTAGGAAGAACAACCTTCAGAACACAGTAAAAAAGCCCAAAAAACCCACAACAACCATCTATGAGGGTGTTGCTCTGCCCCTTCCATGACCAGAGCTCCTTCTTTCATGGTCATTCCCAAATTGCACAAATAACCCTAATTTATTCCAATTTTGCACATTTCTCTAAAGAGAGTAAATATCTGTAACCCCAGGTCTAACTAGATCTGGGGTGGGGCTGCTGCTTTCACTTCCATGCAGAATCCGTTATATAGACTGAGAGAGAACAGAGTAATCCCACTTTGCTTATGAAGGCTAGTTATGCTATAAGCCTACTCCCAATGCTGTCCTTTCATCAATAGTAATAATACTTCCAGTCTTTTGCTCTTACCTCCGTCTATTTCTTCAATGTAAAGATATTTATTTCCACCACTAAGCAAAGCGCTTACATTTCTTAATGCCCTTAAAACCATTAGTGACATCAGAACCAATAATTTGCTCTAATCAATACATGCCAAAAATATTTACCATCCGGTTGTCTATATGAATGATACACTTGGATATCCGTTATGGCATGCCATGAGTTAATCAATGCTTCTTTATCTGTTCCAGAGGTTTTATGTGCACGGTTGACTGTCTTGGTTTTTCCATCAGTCCAGTATATGTAATCTTCAAATAATGTGAGAGCAATCACTCCAAGAATATGTTGATTTGGGACTGCAACAAAATGTAAGATTGATGTTCAGTTTTCACTTAAAATATTCTGCACTGCAAAAGCTGTCAAAGACAACAACTGTGTAACTTCTTGTGAATAATTGCTGTGACATCTTGTCAAGCCTAGAGGCTCTTTGTTATCATTTGGAAGTATCTAAAATTAAGATGAGAAACATCAGCCCACTTGGTTAGGTTTTCGTAGCCTTACAGTGAAATAAATAGCTTGCACCTACGAAACAGACAGAATAATATTGTTTCTGCACCACCACACATAGGTGTGCAAGCCCACATACACACTAGAAGCTCGGGAAGGGAGTCAGTAAGGGAGTGATTATACTTTTGTACTAGCCAGAGTCCAATGTTTCCCAGCAGCTATGTCCTACTCTGCATTCTCTCCACAGCTTGTGGAAACACTAACTGACCTATTCTGGCAGTTTTTGATATGGAAGGTGGGGTATGTGGTATTTCGAGAAGTGGTGTTTGATTTCAGTGTGGGCAGTATGGTATTTTCCTGTTGAGTTGAGTATGTTCCACCCCAGACCAAGTCTTTGTTGCATGGCATTTTGTGGGACTTCACAGTCGAAGCTGTATGCTTGGGGGCAAGTTTTGGTCATATATTCCAATTAATTTAGAATAATCAATTGATATTAAAGCTTATTTTGGAAAACATATAGGTTTACCTTTCTATGAAATGGGGGTGTTCCACTTTCAATAGAAACCACTGGCATCTAAGGAATGATTCTGGGGCTTGCAGTGGCAAGCAGAAAGAATACAGCAACAGTTCACAAAAAGTAAGATAAATGTTAGCCTGGACATTTGCAAACAAAACAGGACAAGACTACTCAGAAGTTTTAGCATAGGGAAGACCTTCCCTAGAAGAAGGTGGGGACATTTTTCTGCTTCTTTTCTACTAGCTCTGAAGACCAAAATGAAATGTAATGTTGAAGCATGTATGTTTTTATGCGCAAAATAAATCTGGCTGTTTTCATTAGACTAACACTGACCTAGCTAACATTTGCTGAGTCGTATTCGTGAAGGCTTTCATGGCCGGGATCTAATGGTTGTTGTGGGTTTTTCGGGCTTCTTGGCCGTGTTCTGAAGGTGGTTTTTCCTAACGTTTCGCCAATCTCTGTGGCCGGCATCTTCAGAGGACAGCAAACTGCTCTGGTGTAGTTTGGCTAGGGCGTGGAGTATTTGCTGAGTTCTTGCTGCATTGTCATCCTAACCCTCCACTTTGCTTCTCAAATTCAGATTAAATAACCTCAGTGCGAATATAGCAATTCTATCATCTCTGGCTGGGCATACTAGCTCTCTCTCTCTCTCTCATTATTTATCTAATTTCTACTCACATTTCTCCCTATAAATGGACTCAAGATAGCTTACAAATGATTTTAAAACACAGATATGAAAACAATTTTAAAATTAAAAATCACATTATTAAAAACAATTAAACAAGTAATTATTAAAAGGCATGAAGTAAAGCCCTCCTAAAAGTAGTATTTTTAAAGGGCAATTTTTTTCCTTAAAATCCCTTCCTCAGCAGCATTGTACATATTAAAAGCCTATCTTAAAAGATGCTCATTGTTTGCTAGTGGAAGGACAGAAGGAAGGAGGCTAGCCTCTCTCCCATTAAAGAGAGTTCCATAGCCTGGAGCAGTCACAGAAAAGGCCCTCTCTCATATTCACACCAAGTGTGGCTGGGAGGGCAGTGGGACCAACAAAAAAGGTCTCCCTCAAATGTCTTAAAAGACTGGAGAGGCCAACATGGAGAGGAGATATAGCCCCTCAAATGGCTTAGACCCGAGTCATTTAGGGCTATAAAGGTTAAAACCTTTGAACGGTGTCCAGAAATTGATCAATACCTAGTGAAGCTGTAATCTTCACTGTTGTAACAAGGAATTTCTGTTCTCCCTTTTACCAGCTCTGCTCAGGAATCTAGCTGTAGTGCCCTGGACCTACTCAAGTTTCCAAACACTTTTCACAGGCAGCCCCATGTGCAATGTGTTAAAGTGATCCAAGTAGGATATTACTAAGGGATGTGTTTGTTGTGACAAGATTCAGACATCTCAAGGAACAGGGATAGCTGATGCACTGTGCAAATGCTCCTCTGGCAACTGCTGAGACCTCAGCAATCACGCTCAGGGACAAATCCAGGAAGACATCCAGACAGTGCTCTTGAGTCTTCCAGGGGAGTGTGACCGCATCCAGAATAGGATGGAACCCTGTTCTCTGATGTGCTTATTCTCTGATCAGACTCCTTGATCTCTGTGGCATTCTTTTCTGTGAGTGCATTTATGGGGAGGTAATTACTGTCTGCTACTGAAATCAGGGCTGAACAGAAGTCCATTAAATGAGTTAATGAAATGTTAAATTAACACATTAATACTTGAAAACAGATTCTTTTAAAGTATTTTCTCAAAAGTTTAATCAATGCTTTATATCCAGTTTTAAATTTTATCAATAAACAAAATTAGCCATTGACTCTACATTGCTAAATTAACTCTTTATGACAACTAAAGTATGTCCACGGTGTACTTTGAACCAGTCAAAGGCGTTTGTAGTATCAATATTTTGAAGAAATTGCAACCAAAGCTACAGTGTGATAATTTATCTCAGAATCTTAATCTTAGAACTGCAGACCTGGAATGGACCCTATGGATCACTGAGTCCAACCCCAGTTAAGGAGGCACAGGGGGAAATCAAGCTCCCAACCTCTGGTTCCACAGTCAAATAATTAAAACACTGAGCTATCCAGATTCCATTTATTTTAAATAACATATATATGTCTTAAGATTAGGTTATTATTCATACCTCTTTTTATCTATACATGTTTGTGTGTAACTGTGAATGGTTTATACAGAAACTCCAATTACAGAAAGTAACTGTATTAATCTGGAAGCTGAGTCATGGCAACTGAACTTCTTTCTTATTAGGTTGAAACATTTCACTGCTTATCCAAGCAGCTTCTTCAGTCTGGGGAGAGTTGGTAGGAGACCCCTGATATATCCTCCATGTTGGTTTCACTTCCCCCTGGTCTGAATAGGCTCGTTAGATGGACAATGGTGGTGGAGGGAGGAGAGTGAAAATCCTATCTCTGCGGTCCTTCTCCATCCATTGTCATGGGTTGTTAATAGTGGTCTTTCTGGTGTGTGTGTTCCTGATCTTTCTGGGGACAGATGAAAGGGCAGCATGATAAATAGGAGACAGATTGTGTCTAAGGTACACCTGTTGAGTGAGAGTATTTCTATATGCATATGTATGGCTTCCCTGACTCCTCTGTCAAACCACTATCTTCTCATTCAAAATGAGTACATCTTGATCATGTATTAATATGACTCAGATAAAGCTTTAATTATAAAATGTTTTATTGATTTGGGGAAGATGAATAAACTCTTCTATAATGTTTCCTACATTATGAAAAATGAATGCATTTTTACTATTACGTTTGTTGTTTGTGGTAAGAAATAAAATCAAGTTTAATAGCCAATCATCCTAATACTGCTTAATATGTATTTTTTTGTTCAACATATATATATTGTGGGATTGTACTAAAATGGGAGCATGTATTACATTCAGTTTTGGAGACACTCATAACTATAGTCAAAACATCGGAAAATCAAATTTCAGTTATTGTGAAATTTTAGGTTATCAAGATATATACAACTCATTGAGAATAAATGCTACTAAGTCAGGAAATCTTTCTTCAGAATAGACATGTATAGACATGCCTTAGGCATGAAATGAATGGCTAAGTGTAGACAAAATCTGAAGAAGTCACTATTTAGTTGTTTGTTTTTTGCAGACCTTGTTTGCAGACTGTCCTCCATATACTACTTGGACCAGACACAGAACAGATGTGCTTTGCATTCTACACATTCCTAGATAGCTGTGCACCCATCCAAATCACACATATTCAAAAAGTGTGCACAGAAAAAGGAATCAAATTCACATGTGCAGAAAAAGACAACCCTGACTGGTGAAATGTGTACAAGTAACATATCTGACTTATCAAATGTATCCATTTTTAAAAATGTTGAGGAAAAAGAGCATTTTATTGTATTGTGGGATTGTACTAAAAAGCGAAAATGTATTACATTCAGCTTTGGAGACACTCATAACTATAGTCTGACTTATCAAATGTGTCCATTTTTAAAAATGTTGAGGAAAAAGAGAATATGTCTCATAAAACACATAAAAATGGAAATCAAATGAATTAACAGATTTTGAATACATTTTCTTTAGAAGAATGAATGAATTTTAGTACTAATCGATTAAAAATACTCTGTCCTAAGCTTATCATCCGTTTGTTGAATCTTCCTTTTGGCTTAGATGATGGTTGAGCCTTGGGGTGCAATGGTTACACTGCAGAACTGCAGCCAAAACTCTGCTCACAACCTGGGTTAAATCCCAGATAGCTGGCTCAAGGTTCACTCAGCCTTCCACCCTTCTGAGGTTGGTAAATTGAATATCCAGATCTTGGATGGGCTGGGGAATGTGTAACCTGCATAATTAAATTGTAAACCATCCAGAGGGTGCTTTAAGCAGTATAGAAGTAACACACTTTGCTTTGCTTTGGTTGAAAATGTAGTTCAGAGAATGCCAATGCCGGGAGGGGGCATAAAGGGATCCCCAGGAGGCATTGCCTTTGCCAGCGTCCCCGGATGCCATGCGAGGCTATAGGACTTGCCCAAGATCAGCTGAGGGGCGTGGGCTGAGCAGGGCATATTTAAGGGGGCAGTCATGTTGGTAGCTCCCCCTTTTGTTCTTGTGAGCAGCATCCCACGCGCCTGCCTTATATGCTAGTGTGAGATTAGCTGGTCGCCCTTTGTTGGGGCCCGGATAGGATTTTTTGACCCTCCTCCTTATTGGCAGGTGGAGGCGGGGATTTTTTGCCTATCCCGCACTAGATTAGGAGGTTTGGTTCTAGCAAGGGCTGTAGAATTTGGTCACGCAGGGGCTGGTAGTGCGGATTTGAGGGTATTCGAACTTGGATTATATTTTAATGACAGAAAATGGCAGCGCGTCTCAGCTCGCAGCACTGTCAATCAGGCGATCTCAGTGCTGGGAAATTGGGATGTGCTGGGGATGCACCCAGACCCAAGGTCGGCACAGAGAGAGGAAAAGAGGGTTCAGGAAAATGGAGGCCAATAGTTATCTCATGGTAAGGACGAAGGGGATGACTGAGGCCAGAGCACAGCCGGCTGGCTGTTAAATGGTCATTTGATGATCAAGAGCTAACCTGAATCCACACTACAGCAGGACCCCCCTTTTGTCAGGAGTGGCAATGTTTATGGAAATGGAATGGATTCCAATAAAGTGTGGCCCATGATTTACCCACAAACTTGGTCTTGTGTGGTTATTCTGGGTGGGAGGGCAAACATTTTGGCCAGAGATGCCATTGTAAATGTGCCAGGCATTCCATCCAGCCAACAAGGACTGTGCAATTTGATTCAGCTGAAACAGAAATGACTAATCATTTCTGCACTTTGATGTGATAAGCACAATTGGTTGTGTAATGTAGTGTTACACAAGGGTAGTTACTCAGCAGCATTTCAGCCATTTTCTTCTATAATTAGCATAATAAATTCATGTGCCAATCAGAATACATCTACTTCATTGGAATGTAACTAACCTTTATTTCTACGAGTACCATCCATGTTAGCAAATTCTATATGGTTTTCATCAGCCCAGTAGAGTCTTTGGTTGACATAATCTATTGTAAGTGCTGTTGGTCTAGATATCTGTGTTTCTATCACAACTGCCTGATCAGAGCCATCCATGCCAACACGTCCAATGTGAGGATACTCACAGCAATCAATCCAGTACAAATATCTAGGAAACAAAAATGATGAGATAGTTTATTTATTATCAAAATACAATGGAAGTTTTATAATGTGAAATCAAGAATTATAGTTTCTCTGCATTCTTAGACATTTTAATGAGAAAGCAATCTGTGAAGCTCACTTTCAAGTAAACTTGTTTAGGATAAGCTGACTTCCTAATTTCTAAGTTGGGGGTTCAAGGACTGCATTTCCTGCCAAAGGAGTGGAAAACAGGGAGGTTGTGGGCTACTAGATTCTATGGTTCCAGACATTTTCCTTTTCACATGTTCATACTATGTTCACATACAAAATAGAGGGTGGCAATCTTGCATGAGCAGTAAAAGGAACAGGAGATGGAGGATTCAACACACATAACTTGACTTCTCTGAGTAAATTATTCTCAAAAACACTTTTCTCTATTTTATTTACTTATGACACATACACATTTCATTTTGAATAAAAATAAGAAATTTCCTTGAGGAATTTTAAGGCAAACTTAGCAGTTGTGCTTCAATCTTAGCCGACAAAAACTGCTTTATTTCAAGTGATGCTACAGAGCTACTTCCGAAACTACCATTATAGATTTTGTGAGCCCTGAATATCACAGAGTTGTTTTACAAACATGTTAGTACTATTAGGTTGCACAGTTTTCCTCGGAATTGCCTTCCTTCTTTATACAGAAAAGCAAGACTTCGTGTACACTTCAAGTACATGAATTCAAAGTTTTCTGTTATGTAATTTTCAAACATTAGATCTGGGCTAGGGAATATATGGCCCACATATATGGGAATAGTCCAACAACATCTGGAGTAGGGATGTACACATTTATACAATCTGCATCTATGACCTTTTTTGTTTTGTTTTTTTAAAAATATCCCCAGATTTCAAACCATATACATCACTTGGAGATACTTCCAAAACTGATGAACTAATTTTGAAAGTCTTTTGTGGACATTTGTGGACATCTGAAATGTACAGATTTTTCTAACTTGATTTTTCAAATGTACATGTTTTCAAGATACATCTGCAGCTGTCCATCAATATCCAAATCCTGGAGCACGAACTGCCCAAAAAAAATCCATCCAAATTGATACTCCTAATCTGGAGGGCCACACATTCCAGATCCCTGCATTAAATAATAAACATTTCCTGTCTTTCATATTATTTATGCAGGTACGTAAACCAGTGCTAAAAACTGTTTTCCATGAAGCATAGCTTCTGATTATGATAAATAAATATATTTATGAGAACACATTATCATATTTATGAGAACACATTATCAGGTAACATCATTATTTTCTATTACAGTTCCATACCCAATCTGAGGATCTAAACAAAGATCTCTTGGGAACTTCACCCGTTTGCTCACAAGAACAGTGGGGTATAAACCATTGAGTTTGGATACTTCAATAATCCTTTTTTCTGTGTCAGACCAATAGAGATTCTTTCCAACCCAGTCAACGGCAAGTGCATTAGGAACAGCTGTGTTATGAACTACCTAGAGAAATTAATACAGTATAAGTGACAGAATTCAAGCAACAACGAAAAGCAAAAGCAGCTATATTTCTTGTTTAAAAGATGGCTGCAGCTCCTTTTGGTACAGGAGGAAATAGTTATATTACTAATCAAATGATAAAGACATAATTCTGATAAATACAGTTTTGTAACTAACAGGACAATCCTATGCATATCTTCTCAGAAGTAAGTCCTAGCTGCTTGAAGAAGAATGGAGGCAGGAAGAATGGGGCAAGAAGAATGGAGGAGGTGAGTTTAGGGCATGTGAATAGAGAGGTGCCCCACTTAGGCTGTTGTCAGCAAGGGCAACTCTACAATGAAATATCTATTTTAGAAACAGAATTAAGGAGATGTGGAGCTTTTTCTCAGCTCCAGAAATAAGGACTGACTATTAATTATGAAGTGATTAAAAAACTCATCACATGTGTCTATGTGTGTGTGTATATATATCCTAACCTGCACAGTCAAAAAATAAACAATTTTATACCGGTTTTGACTGCAAGTTATACACGTGAATTATTTTATTCCCTGCTTACAAAACAAAAATAGTTTGATTCCCCAAGATAAATGGGAAATATTAACAGGAAAAATGTAATAAGCATTCTTATCATATGGAACTTTTCTGACTAAGCAGAAAAGGGTTCTGACTGCAAGTTACACACGTGAATTATTTTATTCTCCGCTTACAAATCAAAAATAGTTTGATTCCCCAAGATAACTGGGAAACTGTTAATAGGAAAAATGTAATAAGCATTCTTATAATATGGAACTTTTCTGACTAAGCAGAAAAGCTTTTACTTAAACAAGCACAGTATGACACACAACATAATTTTTGAGAAGGTTAATAAATTGTTGAAAGTTATAACAATATTTGAGTTTTTATTTGATATCCATCTTCTGTTAAAGAAATTATTTCAATTGTAATTTCCATCTATAATTTTTGGGGTGTAGATACAGTCATAGGTCATGCAGACATACTAAAATCCATGTGTGTGAGTGCGGGTGGGAATTACTTCAGTCTGTCTGCTCTAAATGTAACTAAATCTGGACCCAATCCACATATATTTTATAACTGTATTTCATACTGGCTTAAGTGTGCACACCTAAAATATTAACTAGGAATTGAAATAACATTTATTCTTCTATTATGACTTCCCAGTCACCTTGACGTCACTTCCACTCAGGTTCATTCTGTTTATTCTGCTTCCATTTGGTCTGTTGGAATCAATCCAATAGATGAACTCCGCTTTGTAATCGAAGTCTACTGCAATCACATTGTTTAGACCCTTAAAAGGAAAATATTAGCTTCAAGGTTTTCCATACACAAATTACTGAAACAAAGATGACAATGGCCAAAATCCTGTTTGTACCCCCATGAATATGCCAGATGTTACTTCTGGCAGTAGGGAATGACACCATTCCCATTTCCACCATTTGAACAACGTGTCATCAAAAGTGCTTAGGATTTTGCCCAATGCCTACATGATCAAATATTAATCAAAAGAACATATGTTTAATATAGTGTATCTGTCACACACCTTCACACCAGCTTTGTGTCTTCTCAGCAGAACATGCTGTATGTTAAAATTAGTCTGCTAAATGTAGAATAAGTGTTTAAACAGTCAAAAAGAAATGACTTGAAATGCATTTCCTATTCTGACTGCTGGTCCAAAATTTGTTCTGTACAGCTCCTTTATCTGGGATTTCCCCCTATGCCCCTGCAGCGGTGGATCCTTCAGGAATACTCCCGATTTATTTCTCCCTCTGCTACCTTGACTTACTTTTCCATTGGGAAAAAGCCTCACCATGCAGAAGAGATCTAAACTAGCAAGTGCTGGTAGGTTTAAAACAGCTAAAGAACTGTGCAGAACTGTGCAGAAGTCTTAGCAAAAGTTAACACCAACATTCTGAAATCCTACTTTGTTTTTGGAAGAGAACTGAAGATGAAACAAAATTCCAATGGAGTTGTGGAATAACAATGCATGAGTCATGATCAGCAAAAGCAAGAGAGCCTGTTTCTGGCTGTAACAGGAAAAGCCTGTAAATTTAAAATATGTGCTAAATCCAAACATAACTGATTTGTTAAAAAGACTAAACTTAGGCATCTCTACACAAAACCTAGAACATATATATTTCATTCAACTGTTCTTTTGTGCATCACCTCATAACGAAACTGGCAGTTGCTCAAACACTAGTCCATCCCCTATTTAGTCTTCAGTTTAAAGGAAACTCATCAGCTGGGATGAAATTATTGCATAATTAGAACTCTATAATTAAAATTATACCTGTTTCAGTGAAGTATAGTTGGACCCATCAGTGCTGATTTTTCTTATTTCATGGTGATCAGCTAGAATTAAAAATGGTTCCTCATCTAAATATAGTGAAAGGAGAAAACAAAAACAAAAACAAAGCTTTTAACTTAATTTATGGAACTTCATGAACAGAAACACAAGTAGTGAAAAATAAAATGCTACATGCTGTAAAAAGTGTTATGGATGAAAGAAACTTTAAAAGCATAATATTTCAAGTAAGATCAATGATGCATCATAAACTGAACAAGAGATTCAATTAGCATCTCTTTCAGAGTACTTTAATTTAACCTTTATAATATAGAAAATGTATTAGTGCTCTCAATAATTTCAGTTCCAAAATGAATTTAAATATAGCCACTCAAACTGGCTTTTAAGGAACAAATAGATAAGTAATAGCGGACTTCAAAACGAGGGAAAAATCAAATTGTCAGTTCAAATTAATGCCAGCTGCTTCTGAAAATTAGATGTACTGGGAAAATATATACCTTACATGCTAATTCATATCTGTAACATTTCTTTCACTTAGGTAGTAAAATCAGAACTGCTCTACAATCAGTGATATACTTAGAACAGTATTTTAGACATTTTCATTAATATAAACTTGAACAAAAATCATATTCTTTCTTTTAACTCAGGGCTGTTTAATAGATTTTCAGAGCTACGAAGGCAATTCTGGGCTGTCTGTATGGCACAAGGAATGGAGATGTTGTTGTAGTCATTCCTGGCCTGTCTCTCCGAGTGTACAATGTCATATACTGTATTAATTATTCTAGATATGCTTGAAAGGCACATTTATGTTAAGGGCTAGGTAGGCATCAAAGGCTCTGGAAAGCGTTCTTGAGTAAATTAAGTTCTAATTAGCTGCAATCATATACTTGAACCTTTAAGTCTACTTGACTTCAGTGAGACTTACTTCTGAACACATGCACAAATACATACAAGATAAGCACACAGTATAAAAATTTAATTGTGGATTTGGGTTCAGTATACCCAAAAGGGGGATATCTCTGCAATTCTTGTACAAGTCCCTTTGTTTCCCACATAATTTGTCAGAGGTTTCACCTTAACAGGCCTTCCAGCAGCAGTTCTTGACGTCATTCTATGCCACGTAGCATGGTGTGATTCCAAAGAAATAATGGTATGTAAAGAACATATTCAAGAGAATCATTTCCTCTCATCTCTCAGTCCATGTGAGATATATACTGTATTTAAATACCTACAATGGCTTCCTCTGTAGCCCCATTTCATACACAATCCTCTCATCCTTACTTCTCCCTTATGACCTTGTCTCTGTTCCTCTGTTGTTATATGCTGTGTTTTGATACACATTCTTTCCTAGGGCTTTCACTCATCTAGTTCTCCCAGTTTCATCCGTCTGAAGGTTCACTGCTCTCTGAAGTGACCCCAACCTTTTCCCATTTATCGCAGAACCATCTGCCAAAACACTTCCATGCCATCACTTTCATTAGTTCATCCTCAAAAGGCTCCTTCTCCAGCCAAACTTTAAAACCTCAAATCCTGATATCCTAAGTGAAACACATGTAATAGAAACAGCTGTATTGTTCCTGCCTTAAGCCTTGCCTCTATTTCTACCTTTTCCTCCTAGTTTACAAGTCTACTTCTTTTTATTTTTCCATAAGGGTAGCCATGTTAGTCTGCTCCAGTCTGTTTCAGCCAAAACAGTAAAGAGTCTTGTGGCACCTTGAAGACTAATAAGTTTCATTCATCATAAGCTGTAGCCTACTTTATCAGACCCATGACACACCTCTTAGAGACTCAACTGCCATCAGTCCCTTACACAGAGGTGGGGGGAAGGTGGTATACAAATGGATAAAATAAAATAAATAAATAAAGCAGCTGTGCCTACAAAATCTAATGCCAAGTAAAATGTGTTGGCTTTTAAAGCTGCCACAAGATTCTTTGTTGTTTTTAAGTTCTAAGGCCCATGACTCTTCAATTCCCCCCCACACACTGTAAAACATTATGTAAGGTAATGTCAACAATAAAATACATCCAGACATCCATGTTTTATGTAAAAAGAACCCTGTTTTAAAATAGCCCCCTTAGCCCTAAAAAGGTTACTATAGTACACATTGTAAGTACGCTTTTGTTTGAAAAGTTTTTACTCCTGCTAAACTCAGTAATGTCTAAAGCACAACTAATTGAGGGCCAATTGCTTTCATTGATACCTGAAAGAGATTTGCAGCCATGATGATTATTAGGATGCACTTCATAACCATCAGCACACAAGCATTTGTAGGTTCCATATGTATTGATGCATTGCTGGCTGCACGGAAAGCCAGATGAACATTCATCAATGTCTACACATGTTCTGCCATCATCCTTCATATGGAAGCCAGGCCAACATTTACACTACAGGGAAAATAAAACAAATCATGCATCAAAGATATGGATGCTGTCATGCTACACCCACTTACCTTAGAGTAAGCCCCACTGAATGTGATGGAGCGTACTTTTTAGTAGACTTGTAAAGGACTGTACTGTATCAGTTTGTTTGAAATGATTCTAAACATTGGGGAACCAAAGTAAAATAGCACCCAAACATCACTTTGAAAAGAAATTGTTATCGCTTCTTACAGTGTTTCATACCGAACCTTCTTTTGTTCATCAGCACGGGCAACATATGATGCCAGAAGAAATTGAGAACTTAGCACTTCACAAAAGAGGTTTGCCTTCATCATCTGAATACTGTTTCTCTTTTGCAAAGTATGCCAAGAAGGAACAATTCCAGATAAATGTGAATGTTGTGAATATGGGCGTAGAGAAAACTACTCCTTAGATCAGTGGTCCCCAACCTTGGGCCTCCAGATGTTCTTGGACTTCAAGTCCCAGAAATCCCGGCCAGCAGAGGTGGTGGTGAAGGCTTCCGGGAGTTGTAGTCCAAGAACATCTGGAGGCCCAAGGTTGAGGACCACTGCCTTAGATGGCTCCAGAAGAGATGGTGCTTCCTTTCAATCCCACTGCCTCCCATCAGCTCTGTGCAAACTGTCCTCTTCAACAACTGTGGGGCGATGCATTTTCCAATATAGAAATGATGGGTTGGAAGAAAATGTTTACTTGTCCGGCAAATGTTCCTTATTGCTCTCACATGTTTCCAGAATAAAACTTGGCCAAAGCTTTGAAGATATACATATTAGAGCTGGATGAATATAGTCGTTTATTTGGAATATGTAGCTCCAGGTGACCATTTTCCACAAGAGAAATAATTCTCTCTTTGTACTGAAAGCCATCCAAAGGATCCCGTAACTGCAAATTCAGACCACTGAGATGGTAATGAAAATGTGATGAGGTAAACACTCCAGGCCTAGGAGCTCTCTGAAATTACCCCCATTTGATTTTTTTTCTCTAATCTGCCATTCTTCTGATGTTTAAAATTTCTCTTTTTTAAATTTAAGTTTGAAATTGCTTTTAGCTTGTTTCTTTCCTTCTTTAGAAGTTGACTGATCTAAACCAGCACATATGGACATTAAATTGTAACACAAAAAGGAACTAAAATCAGGCAAACTCCACTCGTCTCTTGATTAAAGAGGCAAAATGCTTATCCTTCTTAATCTGTGATTTAAAGAGACAAAATACTATCTTAATTGCTATAAATACTGCAGCAAAACCAATAAAGAGTGTTGTGGCACCTTAAACATTAACAAAGTTTTATCTGGCTATATTTTCAGGAGATGGGGGGGTTGCTACTTCACGTGCAACTTTATAAATACATCCATACATGAAAACATTAGATAGCAATGAATTTCAGTGGCAGGGATGAAGTGAAGTAAACATGTATTGGAAAACTCTTAAAAACAAAATGTGCTATCCATTGTGGAGTGTGGTCACACTTGCAGGCATCTCTAAAGACCTAAATATATGCTAGAAAAAGGTGTGTATTATTCCCTATGGCAACTTCCCAATTACTGTATACTTTTTTTACTGAAATAAAAAGAGCTGTCATTATCCTTCTCACCTTCTTCCCAATCATTAGAAATGAGGTTTAGTTTGCATTATGAACAAAAAGATATAGCTATGTTGATTGACAGTGCTGAGGAAGTCAATCTGGCAGTGGCACCAGGATTATGGAACTCCCCCCCACCCCCATCAAACTGGAAAGGCTTATCAAGCTAAATCTTCATGGATATCTAGAAAAGCTCTACAAATATTTTCTGTCAGGTGTTGTCCTTATTGGCAGGAACTATATATATTTTTGGCTGCCAATGAATTATGCATATTTTATGTGATTTTGTATTCTGATTACTGTTTCTATAACTGTTCAGTCTATTCTGGAAAAATGGTGTAAGGTTAATTTTTTAAAAAAACCATAATACTATCCGACAATGCTACATGAAAATAATACATTATTTCTAGGGTAATCAATGTAGTCTAATACAGTGACAAAGATTTTCACGATGTCTCCTTAATATATACTCACCTCAGCATTTAAAATTGCTTTTTAAATTGATTACTTACAGTTATAGGTCCATACCTCAATAATGAATTATCATTATAGCTATAATTTGTAAAAAGTAAAAACAGACAGACAAACAACCAAAGAACCATGATTCAAAATGAAATCAAACCAAACCAGCTGGGGCACTTTAAATTTATCCCAGTGAGCTTCCACTTCCCCATTCACTTTCTTTTACTTCTTTGCCATACATGCTGAAACAGACTAACATGGCTCTTTGATTTCAAATTATGTATAAGAAACCATATCCTATTTCCCACTCATGAGCTAGCATGGCTGAATTGCCATAAGGGTAAAAATAACTGAAGAGCTACACCTGCGTCGCAAAAGAAGAGGAGCTGCACGTTGTTACTGTGTCAAGTTATATGTTCATTACTGGGAACAGGAACTAAATACGATTAATTACAGTATGTATTTGTAACTCATTACTGCTAAACTGAGTCGTTTCCTTTCCTTTTAACTCACTAACAATGAAAACACCAGCTTGTAGGTTTTAAACTAAGAATAGGATTTCTATGAGTGTTCCCTAGCCTTTATATTTTCTAATTTTTCTAAGATTCTTACAGAGATTTCTTAATCATCAGTTGATTTAGCTTCCCACAGATGTCTCTGGAGAGACATAAATGTAAGATACAGTATAGATATTGTCTGGGATCCTAATATGTTTTTACTCCTGCGTAATGCAATAAGTGTACACTTCAAGCAGTGAATTGCTACAAATTAAAAAGCTGGTGTTGTGGTGTCACATTACTCAGTGCACTACCACAAATGCTTACATGGACTTTTTAATCCAGTGTAAATAGTAATGCATTGAGTTCCTGCTTGCAGTAATTCACTGCTGAGATTTATGCCGACTAAATAGTGGACACAATTAACAGGACTTTGTCCATCATATTATTGTTGGAACCACAAAAGCTGGTGAACACTAGATATGCCCTTTTGGCAGGAATGATCAGATTCAAATTCAAGCAAGCCAATTTTAAGATTAACAGCTTTACTCACAATGTACTACTTTACACACCAGGACTACCAACCTTGTACCCCACAGGAAGATCTTGACAGTCTTGAGAACAACCACTGACTTTCTTGCTCAAACATTCATTCACATGGCAGTTTCTTTCATCAGATCCATCGCCGCAATCCTGTTTGGTATCACACACCTCTTCCTGGGGAATACACTTGCCATTTTTGCACATAAAAAAGGAACTGTTGCATGACTGTTCTAAAAATAAGAAATAAGGGGGTGGGGGGTGAAGGACAGAAGTGGAACGCAAGGGACACATCAAGGAGCATTTTAACTTAATAACAGAGCATACATCTGAAATGTAATCAAAACCCTGTTATAATTTGTTTACATGCAGTGAAGTTCAGTAAATTCATATCTATGGAAAGACTGACATTGGCTTCCATACCATGTGGACTGCACCAAGAATCAATGTTGTATGATAATAATAATACATAAATACACTGTTGATTTATTTCAATATAATAGAAACCTATTATTCCCCTTCATTTATCACTCCCATATAGATATGGTCAGTGTTATGCCAGCATCTATCTGAATTCTCAAGCCACAAAATGATTGGTTCTATTTCCTTACCATGGCTTATTGCCAAACTATGGAAAGGCCACAGATTGCACAATAGTATGCTAATTATCTTTGTTACTCTAGCTATCCTACCAAAAGCTAGATGGAGTTAAAATAAGGGATTGCATCTTCAGATAGTTTTTTAAAATTATACCTGTAGACAAATGCACTATTCTAAAACACTTGAACTGAAATCCACAGTACAAATATAGCTGCAGTATAAATCAACCTCATTAATCAACAGTTGTGATTTCAAGTATATTGTTACAGTTGTAATAGCTGTAAAATATCTAGATTTATAGCTATAGAGGCCTAAATTAAACATTTTCTTCTATCCAATGCATATGTATGTATCATAAGTGGAGATCATATTATACACACAGATACACACACATGCACATTCTTTGTATATAGAAAGGAGGGTGAGAAAAAGAGTAATTTAATTCCTTCCTTTCCCAACTCTCTATAGTACTACCAAATAATTTTGGTACAAGAGTTTCTTATATACAGTGTTGTATGTGCAGTACCTGCATGTAAGGACAGGGGCCTTTATGTTTGAAAATGACAAACTGACAAAAGATGTTGGTACCCAATGGGAGAAACACAATCAAGAAAGGCATAGGATGTTGCAGGAAGGACATAGACAACAGGAAAAGAGATCAGGGGTGGGAAATCTGTGGACCTCCAGATGTACCCTTACAACATTCCTCACCATTTCCTATGCTGGACTTTTCAAAAAGCAAAACAAAGCATGCTACTTATATTCCACCCCATAGCGCTTAAAGCACATTTACAAGTTAATTATGCAGGCTACACACTGTCCCCTTCCCAGCAAGTTAGGTATTCATTTTACCAACCTCGGAAGGGTAGAAGGCTGGGTCAACCTTGAGTCGGCTACCCGGGATAGGACCCCGGGTCGTAAGCACAATTTTGGCTGCAGAACAGCAGTTTAACCGATGCACCAACATGCTCCTTAAAAACACTTGAATGGCTACAGAGTCTTCATGCTTGGGACAGATAAGGTCTTCTGCTTTTCCCCCCTTGGCACTTCTACCTCTGTCCACTGTTTCAGTATGTTCCAAATGTAAGCACTTTTATCAACATTATGGTCAGTATTCTGTTTCTTAACTCTCTTGGACCACCGGAAATGATGTCACCAGTAGTGGCTAATCACCATGAATTAAAGAGTGCCCACTTTTATTTCAGATTGTACATGACTTCATTTCAGTTCATGCAAGATCACTTTATGCATAACCCAAAACTGAACAAGGAACTTTGAGATGCAAGGTATCATTTCTATGACACCAGCAGAGAGACAGAACAGAGTACTGGCTCCTATGGTTCTTACAAGCTGCTGGCCTGTGGTTGAAGCAAAGGGGAGATCCCACCCACCCGCCCATCCATTTCAGAATGCAGCACTCCTGCTTGCACCACTCACCCCCCCCGTGTCACTACATTGCTCTGCAATTCTAAGATGCTCACGATGATGGAGGATCTTTAAATACAGCAATTTAAAGAGTTAAAAGTAAAATTTCACATGTATTGAGAAAGCTGAACCTGCACTTCTGCATTTTGTGTTAACTGGATCTTCATCAGAATGATCTGGGCAATCAAAATCTCCATCACATTGCCATTGAGAATTTAAGAGACATCTTCCGTCAGCACAACTGAATTCACCAGGATTACAGTGACGATAGCCTAAGAGTGGAACAAACAAAAATTCATATGGTGAGTTTTGGCATGTAAGGCACATAGGGCAGAATTTTGTTACTTATATGTGCCACTGTTAACTCCAGGGATGTAGCTGTCTGTACCGTAGCAAATTGCCTGTCAACAATGCACTGGTTCTTACCACATAGCACTCATATGATTTGGTACAAGACATTAAAAACAATTACTAACTTCTTAAGTCCAGGGTTTTCCTGCTGAAATTTACCTTGTTGGGGTTACAACTGCATAGGTATGTAATAGGATTCTGGCCATTTGCTGTTTAATACTAATACTAAATCCTTGCTTCTTTTCATCTGTCACACAATATTTTTCTCTTCCTCCTGTAAGATGTCAAGATATTTTCTTGGCTCTTGGAATGAGAGTTCTCACACTTGTGAAAACAATTTTTGGACAAAAATGCTCAACTTGCCTAAGTTACACAATATATGTACATACCGCCAAGTATACAAAACTACAGTTGCTGATGCCTCAGTGCATGGAATTTGAAAAGCAAGATGCATTGGCTGGGACATGAACTGGAGAGAAGGATTTACAAGAACGGACACACAGGTTAGGCTCTCCACTGTTTTAAGATTTTAAAAGCTTGTTTTATTTGTATCTCACCATTTGAGCAGGAAACTGTTGGAGTACAGTCTGAGCCCTCAGCCAGCAATGTTAGGGAGTTTTTTGGTTTAATTCAGGTCATTTTATTTACCAGTATATTTAAGCAAGCACCCACACAACAAGAACCACAGAGCTATGGTCTCCCTCAGTGGAGGAGGTGCTGATAACCTGTTTGAATGTAACCCTGACTTCAGCTGACTTGTACTAATGTCCACAGCTGTGGAGTTTTTGTTTTATTATTGAAGACTAATGTGGGAGTCTGTGTTGACGTTTGCTCTTGTGTAGCCACCTAACTCTAGCAAGATATTGGCAGAAGAAGCAGGGATGATAACACCAGGCTCATAGTCAAACTAAGCTCTTCCATTCACTTCTGCACAGTGGAATTTGGGTGGGGGCAAGTGCAGCTCAACATCAGCTAAAACCTCAGCTATACTCTTCCAACCTGAATAGTGCTATCTCCCCTCAGCCTGAAGGCTGCTCCCTTGTTACTCCCGCAATGGGAAGATAAGACAATGAGCTCCCTCGGGCCACTCCCCACCTTCACAGCTAACCCAGAGTATTTCCCTTTCCCTTTCTATTCCTCTTCTGAGTACTGGTGAGATGGATCAAAATACTATCTTGGCACCAGAATCCTTGAGTTTCCTTCCCAGAACTTCAAAGTCTGACGTGATCTCTACATAGTTCCTCTTGGCTGTGTCTCCTTTGTCTCTTCTTTTCTTTTGTCTCTCCTTCCAATAGACCCTTTCCTCACTACCCCTCCCTCCTCCTGTTTACTTGCCTTGGTCAGTCTCTCCCTGAAGGCTGCCTCAGTTTTATTTCTCTGCTCTGTTTTGTTAGGAGTCAGCAAGCAATATTCAAGATGTACTTACCACATTCTAGTGATTCATCTGAGCCATCTCCACAGTCATCATCATGATCACAGACAAATTGTTTAGGAATGCAGATTTTATTTTGACATGTAAATGTATTTTCATCACAAGTATTATTAGGAGCTAAGAAAGATATAAAATTGGGGAGAGGAGTGAAAAAAAGAAAAAAGTAACAAGGGTATTAAAAATGTTGGAACAATATTAACTCAGGAGCTTATAAGAAAAATACCAAGAGTAAATCCTTAGGATCCAATAAACCCCCTCCTAAGTGTAAATGTCGGTGTCTAAAAATAGTGTGATTTCTGCAGTTTTCTGAGTGTGCTCAACCTCTATTCCAGACCACAATTCCTATTTTTGTTCTACGGGGGGGGGGGAGGAACCCTCAGCTCTTTGAACTGTATAAAGCAGCAGTGAGCAATGGAGGCTCAGATGATGACCGAATGTAGTGGATACAGGAGTGGTTGTTCTATGCTATCTGGAGGCTTAGAGTTGCTGACCTACTATCAGTCATAAAACTTCCAAAGAAATTCACCTCCCCACAGTCAAAAATTAACTTTCCATGAGATGAAAAATATTTGTGAAAAATGGGCAGGGAGAGTCACAATTCCAAATTTATGGCAGTGTTCTTACAAACACTGAAGAGTTCTCACAACTGACAGCACAACACAGTCCTAATCCATGCACAGGGAGAGAATGTACCAACTTGTATACACAGAAGAGCAATAATTTCTTTCAGTGTCAGACCCTTACACATTATTAACTGTCTGTCCAGATTATCCCAGCCATTCAGGAGCCTGCTTAAAAGGTCATACATGGATCCTTCCCTTTTTGTTAATGCTGAGGACTGGGAGAGGGTAGTTCCTCACTTTGTTCACCTTGCCTGCCCTCAAAACCTGTCTAGATGGTTGTGGAAGACTCAGCAAAGTCTTACACACCTCAAATGACATTTCTTATTCCTATGCTGGGAAGGGAAGGGTCACCTCAAATGTATGGAGTAGAGTGGAGAAAGGCAGAGCTTTATCACGGCGCTGCCAGAAACCACAGTAAAGCTGCCGGGAAAGTTGGAACTGCCCGATCTGTGGCCCCTCTAAAAATAGGGGAGGGTCGAAGGAGAGATCAGGAGAGGTCTCTCTGAAGAGCTGGTGAGCATCAGAAAGAAGAAAAATTGGGCAGCAACCCGGTATTTCTTCCTCTGAAAAGTCACCTCAGCACAGATCAACATGGAAGCCATCTTGGCAGAATAGCTGTGAACATCTCCACCCCCCCCCCGCTCCCTGAGCAAAGGAGAACAAATAACACAGCATTGGAAACATACAGTAATAAAGTAAGTGAAAACCTCTGAACTATGAATAAATACTATTAAGATGAAGAGAAATTAGTGGCCGAAAGAAGAAAAGTAGCGGCGAGCTTTACTTATCAGCTAGCTTTATCAAAAGCGAAATGGTTTCTTAATTAGCAAGCTGGCTTATGGCCAAAAGAGAGATATTGAGATGAAAAGAATCTCTTGTTTCTGGAAAAAAAAATCCCAAAGTGAAATATCACTGAGTAGGCTTTTAGACACGGAAGGTTGTAAATGTTGTTTAACCTGGAATTTACTTCCTGGATTGTCTGAGACTTTGAGAATAAAAAACTTTTGGAAGTAAGAAAATGGGCAGTGATTCTGCAGTGAGACGATACAGAGTATTCAGTAAAATCAGGACTGGAGTCTGATGGATCATAAGAATATTTATTGGAGAGACTGGTTTCTTGTGTTTGCTGTTATGTTTGAACTCTTTTGTGGCTGGAATACCCCTTACTCTGTTTCTCAATTTGGATTTGCAACTTAGGGATGGACAAGACTTAGTAAACAGAAGATTGCTGGGTGTTGGTGAAGGAACAATAAGCTTTTGGAAGCAAGAATGGACTGTGAACCATCAACGAGATGACGTAATCAAGACAAAGGAGCTAATAAAATCAGGACTGGAGCTGGACAGATTATAAGGATTCTATTGAAGAGATTGATCCCTCGTGTGTGTTGTTTAATGTGGACTTCTTTTGATTGGATTGTGAGAGAATCTGATAAGTTTGCCATGGTTGTAATTTAAACTGTGGGGCTAGAAATTGGTTTATAGACTGTAATACCTGTGTAAGGATGGAAGGAAGTATCTAGCGGAAGTTTACATTTGAGGGATCAGTTTGTTGATAAAATAGTGGAAATTGAAAGATTGAAATGATTTCTGAAAACTTAAAATATAAAAGGTTGGGCACTTGTCTGTCCAAACCCAAAATATGGGAATAGGGGAACAAAATTCTGACATAGAATGGAAGGTTAAAATGCAAAAGATAGTAATAACAGGATTCCAGCAGGTAAATCAACATCTTAGCCAGATGGAAGATCTGATGAAAGAGGAATTACCAGAGACTAAACAGCAGATAAATGAAACTGTATTAAGTCTAGAATTGTTGGTATTGACTGCCACACCAGATAAAATAGATGGGACGAAGAATAACCCAGTGTGCTATTCAGACACCACAGTCAGAAATGGTTATGTTAAAAACTGGATTAGAGTCTGGGAGCTATGTTTTTCTTCTAAGGAGAGTACTGGAAAATATGGGAAGTGATAGAAACAGATATATTTGTAGATGTGTTGGAAGATTGTCTAAGGCAGAAGGAACTTGAATGACGGGATATATTTTATAAATGGTCTCGACATCCAGATGGTGTTGGAGTAACATAGCGTTAAATTTAAATATAATTATGTTGATATCTGGAGGGCAATCAAATGGGAAAAAAGTAGAGAGCTGACTTTCTTATTGAAATATGAAAAGATTGGATGATTGTATACTTTGTGCTCTCCTATCGTCTAAATTTTTTTCCTTCCCCTCCCACTTCCTTTTATCTTTTGTAGTCCCAACCCTATCCCTTGTAGTTAAAAAATAAAAAGTTGTTAAAAAAACTGTATCAAGTAGAGTGGAGGACAAGAGTAGCAACATATTTTACAAACAGTATATTTAGCACTCAGAATATTGCTAGCTTGGCTCTATTAGGCAAAATACTTCGAATTTCTGAACAGCAAAATACCATAGTGCTAAATGTTTCATCTATTAAAATGGAAAGGGAAACCAAAAAAGTGAAAGAAAGAAAATAACTGTTAAATTATTATGGTTCAAAATGGCTCATACCGCATCCTGCTGTGGCAAGTTCATCGCTCCCATTTGGACAGTCCCTTTCACCATCACAAAGCCAGTGCTGAGGAACACAAGCATAGGAATCTAAGCAGCTGAACATATCTGGGGCACAAGTTACGGAACCTGTAAAAAAAAGTTCACATTGCATGCTTTAAAATATTATCTACAGTTGTTACTTTCAAAGGGATGTTCTCAAAGGAGCTAGTCATTACTTTTAATTATTGAATTTATTATTTTCACCACAGGGATTTTTTCCCTTTTTTCTTAAGTTAAATGACAGGATAAAAGACAGGTTGTCAGACATGATACTTCTGTGGTGTAATTTGTACACACATTTCCCTTTTTTTCTTAGCTCACCGTTATGTTTTTTTTAGAATTTCTTTTCATTATGTCTTTGAGCTCACCTCATCATTGTCTAATGCTTAAGGCTACATGTGTTTTTGCTCCCTTTCTACTACACGTATCTCCGCTGCTGTACAGCCTGCCTAGCTATCCATGCTTCCTGATCTGAAAAAAGCTCTGTAGTAGGAGTTACAACACTGAAGCCTGAAAGGCTGGAGAGGCAGCAGTCTTCCACAGAGATGGTTATATGATGGAAAAGTTAAAGTTAAAACTTGTATAGCACTAGCTATACATGTTCCTGGAGATGTCTGATCTCATCATGGTGACACATGCCTTAATTACACTTTATTTTGGATTACTGTAATGTGCTGCATATGGAGCTGCCTTTGGATCATGTTGAAAAACTATTTTGAGTCCAGGATTCTGCTGCAAGACTCCAGACCCAAGCTGATTAAAAGCAGAATAGGAATTCTTTGTTATAGATCATCTGATCTATTTCCAGCACAATTTAAAATGCTGATTTTGAGCTATAAAGCTCTAAACAACTTGGGTCCAAACTATATGTGGAACTGTATCTCCCCATATGAGTTCAAGAAGCTTACAAGAAGCTTTTCCCATTATCCTAACACCCTTACATAGAGCAAAAACAAGGAAGAGTGTTTGTTTGTGTGTGTGTGGCTGCTCCCAGGGTGTCTTTCCCTTTCTACAGGAAATCAGGCTGGCCCTTTCCCTGCCCTCTTTCCTTTGGCAGGCAAAAACATTTCTTTTCAGACAGGCTTTTTAGAAGGAAATTGTTGATGGAGGGGATTGATGGAGAAATGTCATCCTTTATCTTTTTATAAGTTGCTTTAAATGGAAAATGTTCAGTACTTTTTGATGTTTCAGCCTGGAGGCAGGCGGTGCATCATGGCCTCTCCCATTTTGAAGAGACCCTTGTCCAGCAGGCTGAGGCAAAGAGGCAGTCCCGAAACCAGCAAAATCAGGGAGCTGGCCAGGGGACAGATTGTATTTGTCTTCAGTATGGAAGGGATTGTCACTCTCAAATTGGCTTTCTCAGCCACACTAGACGCTGTTCCAAATCCTCTATTCAGAGCATGTTACCACAGTCTCTCGAGACTGAAATATGCCTACAGTTCAGTACTTTTTGATGATTAATATGATTAATTGGTTTTTAATCGTTCAATTAATGGTATTTTTAATTTTTTGTAAGCTGCCTTGGATAGTTTTATTGGGTGAAGGGCAGGGTATTAAATTAAGTACACATGTAAATCAATCCATCAATAAAATATATTTGCTCAAATCAGACACATTGCAATAAGTTAACCATACAAATAAAGCCCCTCATGCATGTGAATTTTATTAACATGTTCTTTTCCTTCATCATTTTCAAAAGCAATTTATTCTCTATCAAATTAATATTTCAGCACAAAACCATTGAAAATACAAAACACTTCTGCAAGTTAATGAATGTAGTACTAAAAACAATCAATTATTATAAAAAATACAGGCTTATTCTCTTTCCCTATCAAATCATGGTACAAAGGCGGGCTACAGATTTGCAGCTTGGCTTATTGTGAAGAAGACTGAAGAATCGTCAGTACCTTCCAAAACTTTACATTTCTTAAACATAAACATCTGAAGGAGAAATGATACAATTGTCTTTCATTATACATTTTACTCTAGCAAAGGGGGATACAAAATGCAGAGCCCAGAAGCTTATTTGTGGTTCCCAGGCCACCTAAAAGTCCTCAATACCCCCATTACAAATATGCTCATGTCTCTCTGTGCACCAATTAGGTGCAATTAGGTTTTAGGGATGGTCACAAATATTTTTAGCAATTTGTTACCAGTTGCTGTTCTGTTCTAACCACAACATCATGTTGCTATTTGTAATACATTGTACTGTGCTTGTAAGTTGCCTTTAAGAGGTCCTAAACAAATACTTTAAATAAAGGTCATTAGCAGATTCTCACCACAAACAGCTTTACTCTCATCCAAGCCATTTCCACAATCATCTTCTCCATCACAAATCCATTGTTTAGAGATACACTTGTGTTCAGAACAAGCAAATTGGTTCCATGAACAAGAAGAATCTAAACGGAAATGTAGATGAAAGCTGTTACTTCAATTTAACAGGAGAAGGGTCTGTGCTAGCATCATCAATCTATTTTATTCGCCTTACAGAGAACATTGTCAACATAATGCCCTGAGAACACCTAATGGCATCTGATTTTTTAGGTACAGTGAGTGTTGTTATGTGCCATCAAGTCAGCCTTGGCCATGAACAAGTGTTCTCCAAAATGTCCTGTTCTTAACAGCCTAGGTACAGTGGGTGCTGTTGTTATGTACCATCAAGTCAGCCTTGGCCATGTTCTCCAAAATGTCCTGTTCTTAACAGCCCTGCTCATCTCCTGCAAATTCAAGCCTGTAAGTCCCATTAGGGAGTCAATCCATCTTGTTTTTGGTCTTCTGCTTTTCCTACTGCCTCCAACCTTTCCCAATATTATTGTCTTTTCCAGACAATCCTGTCTTCTCATGATGTGCCCAAAGTAGGACAGTCTCAGTTTCGAAATTTTTGCCTCCAGAGATAGTTCAGCCTTAATTTGGTCTAGGACCCACTTGTTTGTCTTTCCGGCAGTCCAGAGTATCTGCAAAGCTCTGCTCCAGCACCACATTTCAAACAAATCAATTGTCTTCCTGTCAGTTTTCTTTACTGTCCAGCTTTCACACCCATACATGATGACTGGGAATACAAAAGTGTGGATTATCTTAGTCTTGGTCTCTAGTGATATATCTCTATATTTATACTTGATTATCTCTTCTAGTTCCTTCACTGCTACCCTTCTGAATCTCAGTCTTCTTCCGATTTCTTGGCTACAATCTCCGTTTGGACTAATGACTGAATTGAGGTATACAAAATCTCTGTGAAGAAACTTCAGTTTCATCATTGTCAGTGTTAAAGTAGTGAAGTTCTGTTGTTTTTCATAACTACAGAAGAAGAGCAAGGTCGGGCCTAGTTATTATTTGGATGGGATATCACAGAGAAATAACAAAAGTCTTCATGTACATCTTGCTTGAGACCCCAGGAAGTTGCTTCCATTCAGTGGTGACAGTGGTGGACTAGATGGACTAATGTTCTGAGGCTCAGTTTAAGGCAACTTCCTATGTTCTGATACTGTGGTTTATTCACGTTAAATAAATATTACTAGGATTGCACAAAGTTACTGTGTCTGAATTATACACCATCCATGAACTAATCTGTATGAGGCGAACTATACTGCAGCATAAGACAATTCAGTCACAGTCCTAGTTCCGTACCTTAAAAAACTGCGAAAACTAGTTAGCATTACCATCTAAATTACCAAATCACAAACAGGCTGAGGTGGATCTAGACCACCTCAGTCTCGATAGAGAAGGGCCCCTTCAGGGTGTGGCAAGAACCAAGACCCAGTGGAGACCATCTGCTGAAGAAAAGGGTCAGGGAAGTACACTGAGCAGCTCAACTCACCACACTGCAATTCATCACTTCCATCTTCGCAGTCTTTCTGACCATCACATACCCATGTATTCAAAATACATCTCCCACCAGGACAACCAAAATAATTTTCTTCACATGTATGCTTGTATCGAACTGTAATGAAATAAACAAGCAGTGCCTTTCCAGTCATCACAGTATTCTGATGATGTATCGACAAATATGAATTGTATCACATACATTGCACAATAAAACAAATGGTAGCACTAATAAATGTTGCACTTCTTTATTCATGGTGAAGAAAGATTTAAATTCCTTTTCTGTCCCCAATTACCTGGGCATTTTAATTCATCTGTATAATCACCACAGTCATTTGATCCATCGCACAGCCATTCTGGTAGTATACACAGTGAAGTAAAATTGCAGCTTACAAAGCCTGAAGATTTGACCCCAAGTTTATAGAAGTGAGCACAATCTGTATTATCTGAAAAACACAACAATAAATTATTCTAACCTTGCGTCTCACTGCTGGAACTTATTTGACAGCCGTTACTCAATTTAACTTTTTGTAAACATAGCACTGTCTGGTATCAAACAGACTTAAGTTGCAATCCTATGGCCATACACATGGGGAAGTCTTATTAGCTCAGTTATGATTAGGCATGTACATGATTGCACTGAAAGTGGGGAAAAAAATAACTACACATTAATGATCTAGAAGCACAGAATTGGAAAGAAATAGCTGAAAATGCAATAACAGAAAATAATAATAATAGAGCTCCTTACTGCAGTTTTTCTCGTCGGAAGCATCCGAACAGTCAATAACCTGATTGCATTGTGCAGATTTTGCAATGCAAGTTCCATCTCCACAGTGAAATTCTGTTGAGCTACATCCTGAAACTGCATAATAAAGTGTTATGTGAAGAAAGATATAAATGTAATTTGCATGTTTGGGGCATTTATACAGTTACCACTAAATTATATATAAGATTTTAAATGTTTTTGTATAAAAAAATTCCCATACATGCTAATGATATTTCAGCATAGCACATCTAGGTGCATTTTACTTTAATTAGTATTCTAGTACTACTCTGATTTTTTTAAAAAATTATACACTGTGAGGTCCATCAGTTTTCTTAAATAATGCTTACTTTGTCCATATTCACCAAAGCACAAAAAAGGATGCAAAAATCATTAAAATTCTTACTTATCCAAATTTGCACCTGAAGGGCTTTCTGACTTTTATTCGTAGAGGGGTTAATTTTTTTTTTTGCATGAACATTTGTGCAAATTGTTATGAAGGCATGCAATAATTGTGTGCATTTTTAGAAAAATATAATCACTTTCTCCTTCTGAAAGGAGAAAATGAGTGCAGTTTTCAATACATTTTTCAAATGTGTCATTTTTCATGTATATTTTTCAGACATCTGCATTTTAATGCTTTGTGTGTGAGTGCATGAACCATTCTAAAACACGAGAACTTAGGCCAATAGATATTCATTTATTGAGCACATTTATTTACTTGGAAAATTCTGGCAAAAAAGGAACTCATCCTTGCCACTACTGATTTGGCCTATATCTCTTTAGATATATATAATATAAATACGTATAACAATATAACATACAACAATAACACTGTAACAATTCTTATGCATAACAATGTAACTTCCTTTTTGGCTGAATATTATATAATTTGAAACATGAAGCCACTTTCCAAAATTTTAAGAATTTGCTATTCGATTTCAAAATTTTGGGGTGTGCATGACTTGTATGCATGCACCCTGAAACTGAAAAAAAGGAACTCATTAATTAGGGGCAGTCTGTCACAGCCAATGAAATTTGCTCCTGTTGCACAACAATTGCTATGCAACAGGACACTGGTCCTTGAATGGTTTGGGAAAATGGTAAAATCTAGTACTCATTTTCATTAATAATCAGTAAAATATCACTCACTATACACTCAAACTACTTATATTCTTCCTGCAGAAAAAGGAGTTTCAACCAGACAAACCATTCTTCTAAATGTTCATTTCAGACTCTCTCTCACTCTCTCTGTGTTAACTTTATAATGCAGAAAAACTTCAACCGTACCTTCACAGCCTATTTCATCAGAGTTATCCCCACAATCATTTCTGCCATCACATACTTGACTGGTGGGTATGCAACGGCGATTAAAACAGGGTTTATAGCCTCTCCGACAGCTTCTATTTTCTGGTAAATTAAAATACAGAAACAGCTTTTACTGTTCACCCAATATGCCTATACACATGATTAGAAGGTTTGGGGATTTGGAGTCGGGAGTCAATAAGATATGGATCAATGTCAACAACGAGATACATTACATGAGAACAAGATAAAACCAAATAAAAGAAAATATAGTGAATTCACTTACCACAATAAAACAACTTCTCATCAGACTTGTCCTTACAGTGAGCTACACCGTCACAGGATAGTTGGTAGTCAATGCACTCACCATTCCCACACTCAAATTCAGAATAAAAGTTGCATGATAAGTTTTTAGCTAAAAGGGCAAACAAGGAAAGACTGAGCTAAAGTTCAAAGTTAACAGTCCTAAAGCCAAAAAGCGCTTCTTGAAAAACTCAGTTTAAAGAATTCTGTTGGTTGGATCCAGATATTTACTTACTGAAGGGGGTGAAGGAATTTTATTTCCCCACAGTCCTCCATTCCCAGAAGCTCCCAACCCACCCCCAGTATTTCTTTCCCAGTCAGTGAGCAGACCAGGCTGTGTTGTGGGAATCAAGAGGAAGAGAAAGAGGAAGAGAAATCTGATGAATGCTCCTTTGCCTCCACTCAGAGAAAGTGCCTCTGTTCAGTTTCCCCAGATTTCCTCTTTTCTCTCAGCCTGTGGCATAATTTAAAATTGCCACAAAAGAGTTGCTAATAATTGCAATATCACTATATACTGCAGTTCTAACACCAATTAGCATAGGGCCCAGTACGAGGAAAGCAGAACACGTGCTTCTCGGACAACTTTAGCTCATCTTTGGTCTAGATGGGCACGGTAGAAATCCAATAAAATAAATAAGTAAATAAATAAACATCCCATTTGTCATTTGCAATGCATGACTTGAATCGAGTTTGTTTGCTTGTTTGTTCTCAATATCTGTCGTCCCCCCCCGCTCCCGGAAACTGCTACTCTGGGCGATGTGCCATAGGAGTAAAAGCACAATTATAAAACAAATTCTGATATATAAGAAAACAATTAGGCGGCAAAAAACTATTAATTGGCATATACAGATACCCCTCCTTCTCCCTCCCTGAGTCAGTTCACTTTTCTATTTCATTAAGAATTACTGGTTTGAATATCATCATGTTGTAAATGCTGTCACCTTCTGAAAATATCAAAGCTTCTAAACAAAACACACAGATGACTGAATGGTGCTGTGGTGGAGCCTGATCTGGTAGAGGGCTACTACGAAGAACATTTAATGAATCAAATAGCTTTTCATTGAATTCTATCTAGAACAAATTTTCTGGTTTTTTTTTCACTATATGGGAGCTACTGTCCAATTAGCAAGTCCAGCATTTAGACTGCATCTAAATGATCTAACTGACATGGAATTGGGGCATGTGACTCTATGAAAAGGTCCCAATGATTTGTCTTTGCATGTACTCCTCCTCACAACCATGTGTAAAGCATGATCTCCCCCACATATACAGTACCTATACATTTACACTCAGATGGATAACAGCTGCCACAGGTATTTAAAAGGCATCTGATAAGCTGAATAGAAACATGGCCCTTTCATGTTTATGAATTAAATTTAGCCACAGCAAATGTATTGATGCTAGACAGCTGACTGCTGTCTACTACAGCCAAAACATGGATTACAGAAGAACAGTAAATAAGTGGTATCTTAGTGACAGAGCAGTATTTGTATGGTTCTACATTTTAAATACAGTTTGGAAAGATGAATAGCACAATGGTGTACATCTGTTGCACATGACAACCAGTGATATGGCTTGCATTAAAGCTGTTTCAATTTAGCAGCTCAATACATTTGGGGCACATAAATATCTGGCTATATTCCAAAGTTAATTATAATTGTTAACTTACTGCAGATCAGCAGTTTGGAGTACTTTCAATGATCTGCTGCAGATTCATTAGTGATTGTTTCAAGGCTACACCAAAATAAACTGTTGTTCTGAGGTATTGATGTTCACTTGGAACCATCGCAAATCAGGTTTTTATCTATACAAGATCGATTGATCTCTATAGAATATGATTTTCACAGCTGTTTTAAGATTATACTGCACTGCAACAGCATCATACTCTTAATTAACCTACTTATTATCAATGTAAATCATCGGTATAGCTCACTTTATTTTAATTATACATCCAAACAGGAGAAGCTTTGCAGGAAGGACTGCAAATCTATTGTACAATGATGGCAAATTAATTTACTGATGAAAATCTTCTTTAGATCAATGCTACATTCTCACAACAGCAAAGTTTGAAATATTTTAATTCTTTTATGCTCCTTAATTGGCTTCTTAATATGAAGTATTCAGAGAAGGGGAAGATACATTTTATAATACAAAGGTAATGTATCAAAAGATAGGAGTAAGAAACTGATGTAAACTAATGAGACTTGATGTTCACTGTCATAAAGCCATTTGAAAGACTCCAAGTCAGTGCTCAGAATATAAGCAGAAAACATGTTTTAAAAGCTTAATATTTAGAGCAGGTATGATGAAAATCCACCCAATGAAGCTCTTCAATCTGGTCTGTCAAGTTTCTCTGGAAGGACCAGACCTTTCTCCTCAACACATCCTGCTGTTCTTGCTCCTCTCCCACACTTTCTAAAATACTTTAATTTTAAAAAAAGAACAGAATGGCCCCTGGAGTGTGGCCTGTACTTATTCCTTGCATTCTGGCTTTCTCCTCGTTTCTGAATCACATTCTCGTCATTTGTATCACTTCAAAGGCAGCTACTAGGTTATCACTTGGAACAGTCAGCCAAAGAGTAGTGAGGACTATCTAAGTTGCTTCTAACTGTTGGTTAAATTCTTGTGAGTTCTCAACAAAACTAGCAATAATTCCTCTCTCTCTTTTTTGAATACAACAGCCAGCATACTCCGTCAAAGTATGGCTAACGGTACATTCTCGTAAAAGATACGGGAAATATTTTATTTTAAAATTTTCTTTGTATTTCTGCCCCCTTTTTTGTTTGCATTAGGGTGCAAGGCTCTGATTTTTCACTCTGCTACAACGGAAATGTATATATAGTGTATGAATTAGTCCTGGTGTGCATTTATGAATTTATACATTTTCCCACTGTCTAAATAAAGGGAACTGGAGCTTAAATTTCAATTGTACAAAAATTCAGTTTTTCACATTTGATTTCTCCAAACTGCGCTGCAAGCTTTGCAAATGTGCAGTTTCCCCAGGCAAGCTGCACTCTAACTCACAAGGAGTCCTGGGATATGTAGAATAAGCACTTTCATCAAGAATCTTCACTTCAATGAAATTATTTTCCATCCCTGATTCCAACAGGGACACTTAAAAAAAAAGAAGAATGGTAATAGGCTGTTCGTTGCAGCTCTGAAGAGACAGCAAAGCTTTTCCTAAAAAATGACCACGTCTTGCTTCCCTATAAGAAGGCCAATTTTCAAGACAAGTTGAATATTTTACCAAAAGATCAGTCAATGTATCTATTTGTATTCTCATGGGTTGCATGGGCTAATGGGTTCATTTTTAATCTGTTAGTTAAATATAGAATTGTAGATTGGTCCCCAATTAAATTTACTTCATTCTTTACAGAAAGAAACATGAAAGCTTAATCTACACACGCATTAAAGTGAAGCTTTAGTAAGATTTACGAATTTGGGAGCTGGCAGGCACGCATTAAAGTAAGATTTACGAATTTGGGAGCTGGCAGCACAAAATTCTTTATCTAGCGTATCTTGTGTAATGTGGAGTGGGGAATTCTTTGTTTTGCATCCTCCTTGTATGTAAAATCTATTTCATGGGCCACTGAAGAAACACAGGTGAAATTTAACAGAATGATGATGGGACAAATCCCCAAGTCAGAGCTGTATTTGCCAGGTATTACTGAATTCTGGCAAATAATGACTCCCCACCACCACTACACAAAGGAACAGATAATGGATATTTAAAAATGGTCAGGCATGTTGTTTCATTGGTCAGGGGGTCATGCTTACAGTATGAAAATAGCAGAAGCAAACGTAAATGCCTAACATTGCTTTGCCATTTTCAGAAATCATATTATACACAAGTGCAGGCATAGTTTCCTATTGAACATCAAAATCTAATTCCTTTTACGGCTTTGCTAAGAAATTCAAATTCACTCCTGTTTAAATATAGCATTAAAACTTTGTGTTTAAAAACACAGACTTTGAGTAAAGAATGTCTCAAGATAATAAAGCAGATATATTTAGACTTTCCTTTAGCACACAAAGTGAGTGAGTTTCTACTTTACCCTCCTCACTCTTGAGGAAAATGAATTCCATTAAATACATACATAGAGAGCTCAGAAGGGAGAAAACTACAATGGCAGTGGAAGCTACCCGTTATGATATACCGAGCATCACGTGATTGGCTGTCTACCTAGTATGAAAAAGTCATAGTTACGTGCTTACTGAAATTAATTCCTGACTCTCATCAATTAATATTACTTACACACACATCTGTTGTCATCTATAAGTATTCGATCACCCCTACATGAACAATTAACACGACCATCAGGAGTCAGAAGGCACAAATCATGACAGCCTCCATTCATTTGGGCACAAGGGGACAATTCACCTGAACAAAGAAAAACAACAATATCAAACTGTCAAAAAAAAAAAAAAACAACTGGTAACCTACTAACATTGAAACTACTTGCTTCTTTGTTTGGGAATTTTGGCTTCATTCAGGTCTAACAAAATTAACATCATCTATGCATTCAAATTCCTCTTAAGCTTTGAACTCAATATTTAAAGATTACAATTGTTTTCTCTCAACACATTTGACCATTTGTTGTTTTTTTGTCCCCCTACAGATGTTTCTGAATCTGTAAATAATACAGTCCTAATGGGGAACTAGAATCAGCACAGATATTTCATCCATCAAATGTGGGTCTCATCCTTTCCTTGAAGACTTGGTGGTAGGATTTAAATACTCTTTTTTGCTTAAAGCCCAACAGTCCGTCTACTATACTAATTAAGTAGAACTTTCACAATACAGTAAGTGCTTTCAGGAACTGGACATTTCAGAAAGTTCTCACTTTTTGACTTTCATGTCTGGCTTCCATCTATCCACACTCTATCCACACTTTGCATGTACGAGTGCAGACATTGTGCAAAATTCACTTTTAGCTTTTGAGAGAAGAATAACATCCTTCTAAAAATAATGGTTGTTTAGGAATATATTAGCAATTAAGAATTACACGAACATACTAATGGATTGTGATGTACAAGTTGGCAACGTGCAGAAAACTAGACTGAACACCTAATAACTTCTTTATGTGACAGAAATTGCTGAGTGGTAGCAAAAAAGATGAGAGGAGGAAGCAGTCTGTCTTTTAATATTTTCTTATGTCGTGTAGACACGATCTTCTTCATCATTTATATCCCAATTGGACATCCTCTGCTTCCTCTCAAGTATGTCTGCTTTCTTGTGGTGAAAATAAGTGGCATTGAGAATCTGAAATATCATGTTCCCATTGTAGCGGATCACTGTAAGTGGGAGAACTAAGTATGACTTAAAAATAAAAATGCATGTGTAGGACGTTAACACTGAAGATTACAATGCTTCTCAGTAAATTAGGAATTTGACTACATTGTGTGTCTGCATTTTAATTAATTCAACAAAGTATCATCAGTGTTAAACCCATTTATAACAGATTCTATGTGAAGCTATTGTTTGTAGAAAAATGTGAAGTAATATAAAATATCAAGTGACCTCTAAGCTTTGAATGTATTTGTCTATTTGTAACTTTCCAGATGATAATACACTAAAGTGTGATTTACATGGTTGTATTTCCTTCACATTTTACTTTTTGTGGATTATGGAAGAGGAATGTTATTCTGTGATCAGAAAATTCAGTTTGTTATGCACAATTCTGTATTTATTACCTTGATTCAGATATATAGAGCAAGAAGTGCATGTTCAGACTGGACAGAATGAAATTTATCTTTAGTGAAGGCAGCTGTGAAATAAGTGGATGATGTGATGCATAAATAGCTCTCTGTGGTGCTAAGAGTAAAAGGAAGAAGCAGATAGAACAGGGTGGCCCATCTATCTTGAATAATAGATACAAACCTATTGTTATAATACTATAACTTGGAACATGGAGGGTGCTTAAAAGAAGACTACTGCACACTAAGGAAAGGCCTAGGCTAAGAGATTCTTACCCAATAGAAGAATGGATGCAACTCTAGCAGGCAGTGACGGACATTCCAAAGAGCTTCCTGCAAATCTTAAATCATGTCCAGATGTAGTGCCATTTAGTCCATGAGATTACAGTAAGAAGTTGAATTCAGGTCCTGGGCAAGTCTGATTATGTACAAATCTGCTATTATGTTTCTAGAAGATGCTAGGGTAAACACCAAGCCCATCCAAGGAGCACTGCAAATCCATTATTTTATGAAGCCTGGCAACCACCAATGATGCTTTAATTAACATTTGCAGCCCTCTTTGGGATGTGCCTTTCCTGTCTATTATATAAATAAACAAGAACAGTATAATAAACTGCAGAAGTAATCTTTTTACTGAAAGAAATTTTTGAAAAATATCTACCAGTAAAGAAATATTAATGTTGTGCTTGGTAACTTACAGCTGTTAGTGTCATTAGCAACAGCTATGATGCCCATTGGTTGATGTGGTATGTCAGATCTAAGAATTTTTGTATCTCCACCTGTATATTTATTGGATCGCAGAATAGCTCTTCTCACCCAGTCTGTCCAGAAGATCCAGTCACCATAAACAGCCAGACTGAGAAAAGTACCCGGTCCAGATCTAACAATCACCTGATTAGAAAAGGAAATAAGACATAAAGTAGACACTTGTTCTCTTTGTTCCAAATCTGTTATGAAAGACTCACAGTATACTGTGAACTGGGAGAGGACTAGTACCTGAAATCATATTAATTGAATGTAATTACAGTATTTAATAAAATCACAACCAAGATAAAGAGTTTGGATAAAAGGAAATACTACCTTGTATTGACAGTACAACTAAATTTAACAAGTAGCACAGATCCATTGGCTTTTAACCAATGTCCCTTCAAACATTAAGCAACTTGCCAGCTAGGACTAAACAAGGAAATTGATATTGGTATTTATGAAAAGGGAAGGTCTATTGTCTCATTGGCAGATAATGTTCCAGGTTTTACATGAAGCAGTTACAGATAAATTGAGGTAAGTGTTGCACTGAATTAAACCCAGTTCCTGAATCTATATCTTTGTTTGCAGGTTCCAAAAAGGGTTTCTCCAGCTATGGATGCTGGAGGACTTAAAGCTAACTGGATTTCACTATGGAATTATACAGTAGTATGTGGTTGGATGGGGTATCCAGTGTGGTGTGGTGTAGTGCAATGGTCCCCAACCTTGGGCCTCCAGATGTTCTTGGACTTCAACTCCCAGAAATCCTGGCCAGCAGAGTGGTGGTGAAGGCTTCTGGGAGTTGTAGTCCAAGAACATCTGGAGGCCCAAGGTTGAGGATCACTGGCGTAGTGGATAGAGTGACAGACTAGTACACTGGGAAAACCACTCCTTAAATATCTCACTTACTTAGAAAACTTTATTAAGGTCACTATAAGTCTCCTTTTTGAGGAGAAAGGTGGTGTAAAAATATTTCAAATAAAGAGATTAAATAAATAACAGATAAGATGCACTTAGCACATAATATAAATTAGTGGTATGAAGATATCATCTGCTTCGATTCAGTCTGGAATTTCCTGCTGGGATTTCCTCTTCTAGTTAACAATTAAAGGGAAAAGGAAGCTTGTCCTCTTTTTGTCAGGTCACCCTAAGCCCGCAAGTACTTTGCCATTATGATATACTTCTTAATTACAAATGCATCCATAGTGGTTTATGTGGCAAGTTGTACTATACACTTTCACGATCCTGAATATATTTTTCATTATTTTCAGAAATTTTCTCTTCTTCCTCCATGCTTTCACTAATTAAACATGCCCTTGGCTTTGAATGAAAATATATCACAGGAGACTGCTGAATTGATGCGATTTTCAGATCCTTCTGATATAATCATCTATGTGCATGGGATTGCATAATCCTAGTTCTCATATTACTTAGTTCAAAGTTTTGGGACAATGACCTTTGTATTTCCCTACATGCAGTGATGATAAGCATGGAATACATGGGATGGGATAAGAAGTTTAAATTTACTTTATACTCCACTTTAATCCTCATATATGAGATACGTAACTGTAGTACTAGCAGGTGTTTTCCATTCCAGCAGATAATTTGCAGTTTACTTGCAACTGAACAAATGTCTTCTGATGTAGCTAATGGATGCTCATAATCAGTCCACAAATGAGCCAAAATGACATAGAATGCCACCTCTATTTCCTTGCTCTCTAACAGCATCCAATATTACTTCTAAATTTCATTTTTATTGTTAAGAGTACAGTATGATTGTCCAGACAGCCACAATTTCCTAACCTTTGCCAAAATATTCATATCTTCAAATAAAATGAAACTGATTCTAGTTTATTTGAACACACTTAGGTCCTGCCTACGGAACTCTTTTGGAACAGGCTGGTGGAGGCTAAATAGTGTTGCTTGGGATCAGGCAGAGGTACAATATGCCATTTGATGTGATCCTCACATCCAAATAGCATAACGGAGCTCAAGCAACCCTATTTGAGGCTGAATCCGGATAAGACGGAAGTTCTGAGGGTGGGTGCCCCCGTGGTAGGTGGCTTGGGTGGCTCTCTCACATTTGGGGGGACCACCTTGGCCACGAAGAGTGGGGTCCGCAGCCTCGGCATATATTTGGACCCGACGCTCACCATGGAAACTCAGGTGGCGTTGGTAGTCCGCACC